ATTCACAAGAGATTCTCCATAAGATGGACTATTCTATCATAACTTTTAGACAAGAAAACTGAGTCAGAAATTCATTACCCAACTAATTGATAATCAAATCTGAATTTTTCCCTTTATTTTGTGGTATATATGATGAATTCTCTTTTTTTGTTCAAATCTGAATTTTTAACTTCTCCATAATGATTTCCATGCCCAAAGAACTCACACCCCTTGCGATTTGAAACAATGTTAGATAAAATAAGATCGATTTATTTTGCTAATACCCTAATCAGCATCATAAAACATCTGAAAATAAATATTTTTCCATGATAAGTATTTTCAAGGATAGTAATACTTTGACCTTTTCATACAGAACGTTTTCTGTTTATCATGAGCAGAGAAAATGGAAGAGGAGAGAATCTGAAAAAGTAACTAGTGCCAACCCAGAATGATTTGTCAGACTCCCAGCGCATCATTGGGCATGGTTAAGTAGTATATCAAACTATGACTATGAAAGATGGAATTTTAATGTCTTAATTATCACCTTCTACTCTAGATTTCCTTTAATGCACTTTAATTATTTATATTTCATTTAAAATAACTGTAATTACATAATACTTTACAGACTAGAAAGATATTGGTTTACATATTGCAACTAATAATGACGAACATTTGAGTAATTGTTAGTAAAATAGTATCTCCTACCTTCTGGAATTGGGACTCCTTGGACACGCCCTCCAAGACAGAATTACCCCATAAAGCCTCAGATATCAAAGGGATGTAAAAAATGGATTGCCCTTTCATTTGTAGTTTTTTCCTATTCTCATCAGTGACACTAGATCAGAAACTTGGGAGCAGATGACAGTCAGAAATCAATCTTTCAAAATCCTAACACGAATGGGTCCTCAGTATTCTTCTGGGTACATGGAAGGCTCACCTTTTCACACACTTTGCTCTGGAGTCCAAGCAAACGGCAGTACTCCAAACACAAAACTTTCTGTTCTCATAAAGCCTGGATTCCACAGAGCTAGTAGCAGTTGAATAAGATAAGTATGCAAAGGGTGTGTGTGTGTGTGTGTGTGTGTGTGTGTGTTGTAATACTGTGGAGAAAGAGATAGCACAACTGAAGGACACATGGGGAGACAGTGTTGAAGTCTTACACAGAATGAGTAGAAAATGTCTCAGTAAGTATGAGCCATCTGAGTGAAGGGCTGGGAGGAAGGGACAGTGGGCCCCGAGGGCAGATGAGGGCTGGCCATAGTCTTGAGGGTTGTTTGATGATGTTCCTGTGCACTTTTGGCCCTGTGGTAACACTGCTTTTCCTGCTCGGTGATTGCTCTGGTCACTGAAATGTGCACAGAGGTGGACAAAGATGTTAAAAGTATGGGCAAGACCTGCAGAACCCCTTCCTCTTGGGGACCTGAGTCTCGTAGGAGAGCTTCCCTCCCTCAGAGTGATGAGTTCCAGAGATGACCATCTGTGACCTGTGTTGCTTAGACCCCAAGGTTTAGGTTGTTCCTTGGGGTGATGATTATTCTAACATCATGGTTCAGTGAAGAGGAGAGGCTAGCAAGGCAGGCCTTAAGATGCGGTGCATGTTGAGCTTGAGAACAGCACGTAGGGTTTGGACTGCAGGAGAGGAAGCTTCCTGTGACAAGATCAGAAAGGTGAGGGGAAGGGTTTAAGAAGAGGACACTTGGAGGCGTTGGCTTCTGAGTGAAGTGGGCACTCTTGATTTGTTTCTCCAAAGGCCTCTCTACCGGCTCATTCTAAATATTCTATAGAAGACAAAAGAGAGAGGAAAGGGAGTAGTTGGCAGGCTTCCAGATCCTTCCATGGTCCCTTCACAGTGTCCCTAACAGATAAAACAGTACTTGCTCTGGTGACTTCCAGTGACTCATGTGGGAGATGTGTGATTTCGTACCTGCCACCATGGGCTGGGTGGGTCTTTGAGCTTCTGCTTTCCGAAGGAGGACTCTTCTAGGGGTCATCAAGAGGCTCAGTTACTTTGGCATCCTTGTCCTACAAGGTTGGCAGGAGGAGAACTGTCACCATCTTGGTGGCTGTGACTGGCCTAAGCTCTCGGAGAAAGCAGAGCTTCTGGGGAAAGGCACAAATACATCTGGCATGCAAGAATTCCCGAGGGCACAGTTCCTCCCCAGTTCCACCTGGTTCCTCCTGGTCTGGTGTTGGTGCTGTGCAGACACGGCCTGGAACGACAGGCACAATGAATGGAGTAGGGACTCAGGTCCTTTAAGGATGAGGGTCTGGTTCATAGCATCCGGGAAAGCCATCTTAGTCTGCAGAGGTGCACTCCTGGAGCCAATAGTGAGGTAAGAGGGCACAGACAGGCCATCCAGCTACGATTCCTCAGTACTCCTCTGACAGAAATGTGGGGGTCTAGGCTTGTGCCTTTTAGATAAGGTAGCCTTGTAACGGCACAAAGAACTCACTACTCAGTGGCTACTATTACTTGGCCACAGAAGGCCACATGCTCCTGCCTAGGGTGCTTGGGCCCCCTCCCTCTTACTTGCAAGAAGTCCAGTTGTTCTGTGCCATCATGCTGAAGTGGCACAGGGAAGCTTTGGGTCTGCAGTTCCAGCTGAGCTACTGACTAACAGCTGGCCGCCACAGTGGCCACTGGAGTGAGCCTTCCTTGACCAGATCAGTTGAGCTTTGAGAATAAACAACGGCAAAAGTTAGTCCTCTAGACACCTCAGCATTCAAAGGCTGCTGAAAATGCTGGAGAAAAGGAACCCACTACATTGTTTATGGAAATGTATCTTAGTCCAGACACTAACGGAAAAAAATCAATATAGAGGTTTCTCAAAAAACCTAAAAACAGAACTATCCTATGATCTTCCCATACAAGTCTTGGGTACATATTTAAGAGAATATAAGTCAGTAATGCACACACATACTTCCAACAGCACAATAACCAAACTGTGGAATCAGCCAAGATGCCCAAACAACAGATGACTGGATAAAGAAATTATGGCATATGCACACATGGAATATTATTCAGTCATAAAGAAGAATGAGATTATGTCATTTGTGGGAGATTTCATTATGTTAAGAGAAATGACAGCTCAGACTGACAAATTTTATGTTTTCTTCGGTATGTAGAGTCTAGACTAAAAAGAAACAAAAAGACATGAATGTATAGAGGAAGGATGATTTGCTATTTGGAGGGATGACCAGAGGCAGGGAATGATGGGGGTTAAATATGATTGATATACGGAAAGCTATTTTATAATGTTAAAAAATTAAAGCATGTAAAAATGCTTATGGCATATACATGATTAATAGCAATGTTTTTTTTATTTCCCTGGAAGCTGAACTTAATTTGTATTAAGGTGAGGCTCACAATTCAAACAGGAAAATTTATGAGCTTAAAAACTGACTTGGATACCTGCAGATAAACAAGTGTTCCTTCCATGCAGGCAAATGCTATAGGAGGATCTCAGGAATTCAACTGATGTCACATTAAACTGTACAAGCTATGCAAGGTTGAAATGTTAGCTGCTATTGGACAGAGTTAATCCACTGCACAGAGAATTTTGTCATTCCTATCTTCTCTTTGTTGCTTCTTTTTTTCTTCATGAGCCTGGATTTGTCTGAGATTGATATTTTTTTCTCTTGGCATTTTCAATGAGAAATCGTATCAACATAAGAAAGTAAACTGAAAAAGAGTGTCAGGAAAATTAGGTTCCTACATTTAATCTTATTAGCAGAAAATATATTTAGATTGTCTACATTTATAAGATCTTGACTTGAACAGTGTCAGATAGAGCATTGTTATGACTATTATGAAAATGTGATAGCATTAAAAAGGTATTTTTATCATTACCACTTCCTTGCAAAGTTCTTAGTGCTGAGATTTTTTTCAAAAAATATTATCTTTTAAGTGAATCAAGTTGAGTTTCAATAAAAACTTAAATAATTTGTTTAGAGTTTCATAGTGACCACGAGATTAGAACCCTGTTTTCTGCCTGTCTATGCTAAGGTTTGTCACTCTGTGATGTGACCTTGAGACTAATGAGATTTTATTTATTGTTTCCAAGTAGTGAAAACCATCGTAAGCAAATTAATGCAATGGTTTTAGAGTTAACTTCTTAGGTCTTTCATTTTCCTTTCTTCATTAAGAATATTTTTACCTTCCTGTTTGATGTGAGTTTTGCTTCATTTTTTTTGCATGTAGAAGAAAAACCTGGCATGATGCATTGGTTAAAAATGTAGGTTTTTAATTTTTTTCAGAGTGTTGCTATCAGTGTTGATTTTTTTAAAATAACCTTTATTTAACATGTGTATTACAGAAAACATATCCACAAAGTGCAAAGTATTACTGCCACAAGCAGTTCAGGTGGACATAACGGTCTAGATCCTCCATGTACATACAGCAATTCCTTTTTAGGTAACTGAGATCGATGGTGTGTGTCATGCTTTTCCAAATGTTACAAATTCACCAATTCAAAATCCCAAAGCTACATGAATATTTTGATAACCAAGATTAAACTACACCAACTAAATCTGTTTGGTTAAAAAATTGCATTCCTGCTTTTCTTAGGGATAAAAATTTCACTAAAGACAAAAACAGCAACAGAGCCGATGCCTGTGGCTAATGCCTGTAATCCTACTCAGGAGGCTGAGATCTAAGGATTGCGGCTCAAAGCCAGCCCGGGCAGGAAAGGCTGTGAGATTCTTATCTCTAAAAAAAAAAAACCACCAGAAAACCGGAAGTGGTGCTGTGGCTCAAGTGGTAGAGCGCTAGTCTTGAGCTGAAGAGCTGAGGGACAGCACCCAAGCTCAGAGTTCAAGCCCCATGACCGACAAACAAACAAACAAACAAAACCAGCAACAGGCTTCTGGACAGAAGTATTGGCAGAGTTACAATTAAAATACTGAATTTCCTTTATGTTCAATTGAAAGAGACATAAAGCAAGATATACTAAGCAATTTCTAAACTCATTAGTATGCTTACAGCATACTATTAAAATATTAGCAAGAATATTTCTACTAAATATATGAATCCCTAGGGAGCAAGCAGAACCATATACATCAATGGCTCAAATCAAAGTAAAAATCTGAGCACACCTGCACACATCTCTCTGTGTAGGCTTCCTATTCCTACCCTCTGCTGCCAGCCTCTAAGTAAGTCCTGACTTCATTGCCCAGAGGTGGCACAATCCATCCAAGATGGATCTGCTGATTGTAACAGGTATTTACAAGTTATTTAATTCACTACTTCTACTTTTTACCATACATTTATCTCAGGACATCTATAAAGATTAGATGTTCTGAAATAATGAGCTTTGTGTACAATGTAAGTATTTTACCAAAAATGAACATCTTCTAGATGTGACGATGCTCACAGAGCCCTTCCCCCACCTTCCTCTTCTCCCTCTCCATCACTCCAGACACGCTGAGATAATTCGCTCCTAGGAGACAGTGTTTCCTAAAAACTAACAGAAGGACATTTCTATAGGGATTGTTTTCTACTTCTTACTTTTAGCATTAACCCTTAATATTTGGCAATATTAACCAGAATACACATACGAAACCAAATCTAGACAACCTGAACCATCAGAACAGGCCCAAGACAGCCTGTTCTTTGCACACTTCCTCCCCCAACCGCACCCCTGCTGCCACCCAGTAAACAGCACAGTATCTAAGACATTACAATTCATTCCCAAATTCAACCACAAAAAATACTTCAAGGGCATTATGTTAGCCTTCTACTTTTACAAGTTTATACACATTTAGACATCTAGAAAGACTAGATGCTTCTAATAAGGTCTTAAGTTTCCCACCAAACAAACAAGTAGTGCCAGATAAAGCACACACACTTAACAAAAGCTCTAATATAAAGAGAAGATTCTGGCCTAAAACCCTTCCCATTTCCATCAACCCAATGTCAGGGTTATTTATACATCTGTAATATTTCAAGGGGATTTTTAATAATTTTACTTTAATGTTTTAGTCTTTAAAATTTAACACAAAATGTACTCAATGTGTTAGTTTACTAATTCTATTTTTGTCACTAGCAACCTCTTTAACATCTAGCAAGACTAGATATTCTAAATTGGACTCATCTGTCCTTTATATACACTATATATAGAACAAAATTAAAATGCATAGACACAAGAGACAATGGTCACTCTTGCTTCACCATAAACCCACTGGTAGAAAGCCCTCCGCACTTCTCCTCCTCCCTCCCTGAACCAGAACACACACCATGCATACTGCTCAGAAGCCGTTTCATCATTCCATTTTCAAAAGACAAAATTTCATTATGAATTTTAGCAAAACAGTATCTACAAAATGAATTATTTACTACCTCTACTTTTAACATACTTCGTGCACTTCTAAACATCTAGAGAGACCAGATGTTTCAAATAAGGACTTAATTGTCCACTATATACGCAGTAGTGTTGAATAAACCACACATATGTAACAGTGGGTCTATCTGAAAGAGTCTTCTAGGTGGGAGCAGTCTGACCTAGAGCCTTTCATTTCTTCCAATTCCTCTCCAATATCACACTTGATACAGGTATACAGTCACTTACAATTTTGTTTCTAAAACCTCTTTCAGAAGACAGCCTTTCTATGAATTTTAACAATGCATATAACGTGTTAGTTTACTAACTCTACTTCTGTCATACACTGGCAACCTCTTTAATATATAGAGATAGATATTATAAAATTAGGACTCATTTGTCCAGTCTGTACATAATATGTAAAATACAGCAAAGTATGTATGGAACATAGAGGGTAAGGGATAAGCTGAAATTTTCTCTCACACACTAACAAGATAACTCTTGCAGCAGTTTCCTTTTCATCACCTTCAGCCCAGTGAACAAGTACAGACAGTACGCTGTTCACAGAGGTGGTTTAACAACTCCATTTCCAAACACAGTATTTCCCAAATTTTGCAAAGCTATTTACAGAGTTATTCTACCTCTACTTTTAAGTACATCAAACACTTCTAAAGACCTAGGACTGGCTATTTCATACACAAACTTGCTTGCTGTGCTCACAGCACTAGTACATACAATTGCACGTGCAGCAGTGGTTATAATCCGAGGTATCTTCTAAATACAGCCATTTTGCCCCTGGACCATTTCCTCCTCAATTCCTTCTTTCTGCCTTCAAACCAGTGGACCAGTACAGGCATATGTAATGCTTAGAGATAGTTAAACAAATTCATTATCTAAATGTCATTTATAGAAAAAATTTATAGAAAAAAAAGCTTCCTATGACATTTTAACACAAAGTACACAAAATGTGCTAATTTACTACTTTGTCAAATACTGGCAACCTCTCTAACATCTAGAGACTAGATGTTGCGAAAGTTGGGCTTTTTTGTCCATTATACACTATATACACAGCAAAACAAAATGCACAATACAGAAAAATGGCATCTGAGGATGTCCAGGTCTGAATACACTAGCATATTACTTTTTGCAGTTGCTCGCTTCCACCTATCCTCCAAACCAATAAATGAGTACAGGCAGTACCTGACATTCTGCTCACAGAGGTGCTTTCCCCATTCCATTTCCTAAAGACAGTGTTTCATGTGAATATTAGCAAAAAGATATCTAACAAGTGATGTTTTACTGTCTCTACATTGAACATATATGTTGGGCACTTCTAAACATCTAGAGAGACTAGATGTTTTCAAGTAAGGACTCCGTTTGTCCACTATATAGACAGCAGTCTTTTACTGACTGCACACATGTAACTAATTATAATCTGAAAAGTGTCTTCAAAATATGAGCATTCTAGAACCCTTGTCCACCTACCCAGTGGGCTAGAATGCTCCGATTTTCAGAAGACGTTTTCTAGGGATTTTAACACAAAACAGCCAAAGTCTACTAATTCTATTTTTGTCATACACTGGCAAGCTCCCTAACATCCAGAAAGACTAGCTGTGAGTTAGGACTCCTTTGTCCTTTACATACGCTATGTACACAAGAAAGTAGAACAAAATGGGACAATGTTACCCTTCACTGTAAGCACTGGCGTGGCCTCTTTGCGTTTCTGTCATCTGGGTACCAAGGCATAAGCACCATGCCTACAACTCCAGCGGTTAACCCCTCCCCCCCACCAATGCATTTCACAAGAACTGTAATAGGGACGTTTACAAAATGTGTCCTTTTCCTGCTCCTACTTTAAAGATACAGCAGGCACCGCAGAATATCCAAGGTCCTTAAGCGTAGTCAGCTCTGCATGCAGCAAGGGGATGCGCTGCGTGCAGATCAATGGCTGTCCCTGGAAAACGTCTTCCCGCCCCCTCTTCCTTCTCCCAGGTCTTCTGTTCCATGTCCTCCAAACAGGGAACGGAACAAACACGGACGAGTGCGGCTCTGGCTGTGTCCCCGGGAGCTGGTCACTTTCAGAAGACGTTGCTATGGTCTTTACAAACCCATGGCGTTGACAGGAGCGACTTCCGGTCTCTCCTTCCTCACAGGTCGGCAACCTCTTCGCATCCGGAGGCCAGATGGACAGATGGACTCAAGGTCTTTGAGAAGGTTGAGGAGGTTGAGAGCAGCCTTTCCATACTACGGACACAGGCCTACCAGCGGCCCACTCACCGTTTCTCCGCGGGCACCAGCCCAACCGCCCGGGCCGCCAACCGCTGCCCCTGCCGCCGCCCGGGGCTCCGCTCACCTGCCAGGCCCGCTAGGGCCTTCGTGCGTCCTTGTGGCAGGTGCGGCCTCTCTGTGGGGCAGGGAGGTCACCCCAGGTCCCGGATCGGCGGGCCCTGCGGCCCAGAATGCGGGCGAGCTTCCAAAGCCGGCTGCGGTCTCCGTCCTCCAGCCCGTGAACGCCTCGGCCGCCGTGGTCGCCCGGCTGCGCCGTGCCCGCCACCACGCAAGGGCGCCGCGTCCTCGGCAGCCGGGCGAGGCCTTGGTCTGGACCCGGCAGGGTGGAGCCGGGCCTCCCAGAGGCCGCCGCTGCCAAGTCATTGCGGCGGGGCGCGGGAATGCGGGAGCTCAGTCTAGGGCCTGCGGCCGCCAGGCGCCCAGGGCCCCGGGGAAGCAGGCCGTGCTCGTCCCTCTCCGCGCTCTCGACCGGAACTCATCAGGGTGGATGAACCCGGTAGACTCACAGGTTTCCACCCCTTTGCAGGTTCCTATCCCTGGGAAGGCTGGGCGCTTGCATCAACAATGTCAGAAGGGCAGACTGCATGGAGCCCTTCATTCACCCTGCTTCCTACCTCCTCTTTCCTCTCAGCCTTTGGATCACATGGCAATCACTGGAGACACAGTGCTTCATGAGCTGGCCCCCCAGTTAACTTCGCTTGCCTTCTTAGGAAAGAGCCAGTCTTATCTCACCTATGTAAGCTGTTAGTTCTTCTAAATAGCCATCAAATGCAGAAGTCTTAGTAATACGTTGGACTATGATTTAATTAATTCCCTTGAGTACCTACTTGCTATTTTAAGTCTTGAAAGCCAAGGTTAATCAACTACAACTGAGGTGATTCATTCTCCCCTCCCCACATCCTCCCTTCCTGTCCATCAGATGTGGAAGTAGCTGAATGAATATTGGGATGAAAAAAAAAAAATACTGCATTGGTCAATTTGGCTGGATGATATTTCCAGAAATAACTTATCAATGAAGGAGTTGTATATTATGTGTGTAGCTAGGGCTAATTTTTTTGTTTCTTTTGTTTTTTAAGATCAGACAGTGTTTACCAGTACCTACATTACTCAGTAAATTATTTTCAAGAGCACACAAAACCTTTTATGCTAATAAGTACTTACAAAGCTACATTAACTCTCCAATAATGCTATACAGGGGCCTGACTACCCCAAGGATAAAACTAAGTTGGGAGTGATGTTGATATTTGCACATACAAAAAAAATATTGTCAGTTAAGACAATGAATAATTGGATAACTAATCTCTTCACTGGCCTGTGAGAGTATTTCACATAATGTTCACATAATGTAAAAGTATTACATATAATGGTCACAAAGTGAAAAAAAAATTCTTTGTTACTCTTTGGGGAAGTTTCCATTCCATCTGCCCACATTTATATAACCTTTTCTTGCCTTAAATGTGGCTTGAAAAAAAAAAAGCATACTTGTGAGACAAGCTGTCAGCTGAAGGAAGAGCAGTACTGATTATCTTGAGTAATCAAATTCTTTCACAAAAAGGCAGAGGACACAGCCCTAGGAATAAAAATGGCTTTTGCAGGTTACTGCTCTGACTCATCCTTCTCAAAGGGAACTTTACATAAAGACTTTCATCTCTTAGGTCCTTGGCTAAAATCTCAGTAGAATAGTTTGGAGGTTCTTTAAAAAACTAAGCATAGGGGGCTGGGAAGTTGGCTCAGTGGTAGAGCGCTTGCCTTGCATGCCAGAGGCCCTGGGTTCGATTCCTCAGCACCACATAAGCAAAAATAAAATAAAATAAAATAAAAAAAAAAAACTAAGCATAGAACAAATCTATGATCTAGCAATTTCACTTCTGCGATTTGATCCAAAAAGATAACAAACCAGGTTGCAGTAAAGCCACCAGCACATCCATATTCATTGCCGTACAATTTGCTGTAGCCAAGGTATGGAATTAGCGTACGTGCCCCTCATAGATGAAAGGATCAAGAAAATGTGGATATATACATAATGGAATGTTATTCATCCATTATAAAATACTATTGTATCATTTGTAAAGAAATGGAAAGATCTGAAAAAATTAAGTCGACCCAGAGGGACAAAGCCTGTGTGTTTTCCTTTATATGTGGCAGCTAGAATTAGCTTATAAACTTGTAAGTGAATATCTTGGGTGGTATGCAAATGTGTACAGATATATTAACTGAAATATGGTAGAGTCAAGGAAGAACTCAAATGTAATTCCATAGAATTAAAAAAAAATAAACACTAGGAAAGCTGTACTCAAAATGAGTGAGATGGGTCTAAGGAAGAGGAATAGACAAAAAGGAGATGGAAGGGAGAATGCAGTCAAGAACTCAATGTATGTCCTACAAAATTAAAAAATAATGGAAGGGGTAGAATGGAAGGGATGGGTAAAAATGCTGAAAGTTGTGACATTGATCAAGATATATTGTATTCATAAACTGCTTTGTTAAATGCCAGCTCCTTTGTACACCTACTTAAAGATAATTAAAAAAAATACTGTCTTGTGAGAACCTATTGTGTTTGCACTCCAAATTGCAGACAGTTTCTCAATTCAAACTGTTGCTCATACAAACATCCTCAGGTTTTTCACATCTCTGATTTGTCTCATAATTAAGTCTGAAAATTTTTAATATACTCTTTGAATCCAATCACTGCAAATAAAACTCTGTAACTAAATAATGAGTATATTGAACTTCAAACACAATCTGAATATTTAAGTTAATGTCATCTTTGAAGCAAATGGGAAGATATGAATTTAATTTCTGAAAATTGCGCTTACTCTAGAGGGTTTGAAATATATTAATAAGTCATATACATTCTCAAGTCGAACTTACTTTTTCAACTCTCCTTTGTAGAAAAGATTTAAATGTCTGAACTGCTGCCATTTATATATAAAAACTGTTGAAATCTTGTAGGTTATTGTTGGCAAGCAGAATCAAGATCATCATGAAAGGATCTATACCATGAAGCCTATAGTATAAAATTTCAATGTCAGCAGGAAGAAATCCCCTAACATAGGTTGGAATGTTGCCATATGCACAAAACTTCTGATGGAGTTTATATGGCAGTCTAGTGATTAATCATTAATTTTAGCAAATGCCAGTTTTATACTCATTAGGAGTAGGAAAATGACTTCTGATTTAATCACTTGTCTGCTCTAAACCTTCTCTCCAGCTGCATAAGGTTATCCCCTTTTCATTCGGTTTTAATTCACAAGTAAGGTGAACAGAATATTGTTTTAGGGGTTTTGTTTTGTAAGTTTTGGGGCTTGAACTCAGGTCCTGGACACACTGTCCCAGAGCTTTTTAGCTCAAAGCTAGTGCTTTACCAATTTAAGCCACAGCTCCACTTACAGGTTTTGGTGGTTAATTGGAGATAAGAGTTTCATGGACTTTCATGCCTGGGCTGGCTTTGTACTGCGATCCTTAGATCTCAGCCTCCTGAGCAACTAGGATTATAGGCATGAGATAACAGCACCAGGCAAAGATATCAGTGTTAGCGAACCAGTGTAAAGGCCTAGACTTACGTCATGTCAAACATGAAGAGAATCAATAATGCAAGTAAACCAAAGACATTTTATCTATCTTAAACAAAGCTCAAATTAATGTATGTTTTTTTCTGAAGCATGTACTTTTGTACTCTGTATTTCATGTTTTCTGAAATGCTCAACTGCTAAGGAAAACAGCAAACTATTCTATTATCTAAGAAACGATTTCTTAATTTTTTTAACTCCTTTACACAGAAACATTATTCAAATCTCTCTAAATCTTAAAAGTGTAGTAGTAAATACTTTTCCAAATAAGGTTTTAAACAATGTGGGGAGCAGAGTATCTGGAGAGTCTACAGACTTGTGCCCATCTCCGACCTCTCCCCGCTTGGAATTGACCTAACAGGCCCACAGTAACAGATGCTAGTGCAGATTTAGAGAAAAAGCAACCCTAAATAATACATTTTTAGTGGGATATAAACTTGTTTAACCACTCTGGAAAGCAGGTTAGAGAGTCCTCAAAAATAACAACAAACAAAAAAATCCTAAACATAGAACTACCCTATGATCCAGCAATACCACTCCTAGGAACTTATTCTGAAGATTATGAACTAGGATACAGTGAAACCATCAGCACACCCATGTTTATTACTGCAATATTCACCACAGCCAAGGTAGACCAGAAGTACCCATTTATTGAGGTAGCTACTTAATAAATGAATGGATCAAGAAAATGTGGACTCATTCATCCATTAAGAATGTTACATTTTCGGAGGTTCCTCAAAAGACTCCACATAGGGCTCCCCTATGACCCAGCAATCCCACTTTTGGGCATTTACCCAAATGATCACAAACAAGACCATACTAAAGCTACCAGCACAACTCTATTTATTGCAGCATTATTTACCATAGCTAAGATAAGGAACCAACCCAGATGCCCCTCAGTAGATGAATGGATCAAGAAAATGTGGTATATATATACACAATGGAATTATATGCCTCCATTAGAAAGAATGACATTGCCCCATTTGTTAGGAAATGGAAAGACTTGGAAAAAATTATATTAAGTGAAGTAAGCCAGGCCCAAAGAAACATAGGTCCCATGGTTTCCCTTATTTGCAATAACTAGTATATGTCTGAGTCAAGCAGAAAAGGTCAGATAAGTTGGTGTTAGGGGAATGAACCCCAAGATATGTATTCAAATGTTTTTTCTTTCATGCAATTGTTTCTAACATATAAGATGATTTCTTTGTTGTTTTGTATGTCCCTCCCCCCATGGTATAACCCCTGCTTTCACTGTATTTGATGTTGGTATAAGTTGTGGTGGGGAAGGGAAAAAACAAATCGTTTAAATAGGGATACAGGTGGACCCATTGCAACAATGAGATGTACAAGTCGTTATGTTGAAAAATGAACTTTACAACTTTGGGCGGGGGTGGGGGGGAAGATGGGAAAGGATGGGAAGGGATGGGAAGGGGAAACAAAGGAGGAGGCAACAATATTTGATAAGAAATGTACTCATTATCTTGCCCATGTAATTGTAACCCCTCTATACGGTATTTTCACAATAATAATAAAAAAAGGTTACATTTTCAAAGAAATGGATGAACCTGTTAAAAAAAAACTATGTTAAGCCAAGTAAATCAGGCTGAGACTCAAAGGATGCATGATTCTTTTTCTAATGTATAGAAACTAGAATTAATTTATAAAAGAAGTAAACACACTGGAGTTGCGTGTGAGTGTGCAAAAGTACATTAACAGAAATATGGTATTTCAGGTGAAAACTCAAATGGTGTAATTCCTTAGAAAAACTAACTCACAGTCCAACAAAATGAATGCCAGGAAGCTGGTACTTGAAAGGTGGAGGGTGGGATAAAAGGGATAAAGGGGAAAGGAGTCAATAAATGGGGAAAGGGGAGATGAGTAGACAATGAAGAGAAGGGGGAAATGGAGTCATAAAATTCAATGTATATTGCACAAAGAAAATTGAGAGGAGGGGCAGGGTTGGGATAGATCGGAGGATGACAAAAGGGGTGAATCAGTTATGATGCATTGTATTCCTAAATTGATTTGTTGAATGGTAACTCCTTTGTACAACTAGTTAAACATAATAAAAATATAACTAAAATAATTCAAAAGCCCTTTCTAGAAATACTCATCACATAGCATACAAGTTCTAAGGAGTGTTTGGTCTTGAATGTGTTACAGCCTATAGATATTGAATGTTTTACTTTCTACACTGATTCTGCAGCTAAGTATCTTTCGCAAGACTTTTTTATATAGAGACTGAAAATTGTTGTGCTATTTAAAATGGCACTTTTACTACATTCATTTGGTTTTTAAACCTGAATGCTTCAATACTAGTTTAATTTTTGTGGAGATCATCCTTAGCCAATAAATAGGTTTACTAATCTTCCTTTTCTATAAATTGATATGGCAACTATGTTGGGTTTGATTAATCTATTAGGTTCAATAATTCTGTTTATTAATGAATGTCATAATGATATATATATATATATATATATATTATATTGGTCATGTGGCTTGAACTCTGGGCCTGGGGCGCTGTCCCAGAGCTCTTCAGGTCAAGGTGAACACTCTACCTCTTGAGCCACAGTGCCACTTCTGATTTTCTGAGTCTCACAGTCTTTTCTGCCTGGGCTGGCTTTGAATTGTGATCCTCAGATCTCAGCCTCCTGAGTAGCTAGGATTACAGGTGTGAGCAACCAGCACCCAGCATAATGAGAATTTTAATTTTGAATTGGAGCACTATTTTTAGGACTTTTATGGTAAGATGGACCCCTTGCAATTGCTAGTGTTTCTGTTTTCCTTTAATACTTTCATACATAGCTTGTATTTTTAAAGGTATTAGCTGGATTTGTTTTGCTCAATGACTTAAGTACAGCTCTCTGAGCGGTTTCCCTTGATTCAAAAAATGAACCTAAGTAAGTACTACTTGAATAAAAACAATAAATATGTGAAAATCTAGCTAACTAGCTGCGTGTTACAATAGTATGCTATATTCTCAAAAATTAATATCACTCTCAATGATTGAATTAAACATTAATTGAATCGATTAAATTAATATTCCACTACATATGTGGAATAAGTCTTCAGTGGATAATGTCACACAGGATAAAACAATGAGCACCCTAATAGAAAAGGTTACATAAAGAACTGTGATTTTTCAATTCAAGACACTTTTCTTTGAAACTCTAGTTATATATATAAGCAATGATGAATTCCCTTATGTAACTGAAACTAGTTTATGTAATATATATGAATAATTGACTACTATTATTTTATCAAAAGCACATTTAAAAACCATTTTCCAGTAATATTACTAGATATGAAGGGTTTCATTGCAATTCTCAGCAAAAAATAATGGACTACAAGAGGTAACGATAGTGTTGAGGTCACTGGTCAGGAGATATGAAGCTGTAATCAGGGAGGGCTCAACATTTACATCAGGGACACTCTCAAACTAAATGAGCCAACAAAACATTTACATACACAATGCCTTTCCCTATATGATTTTCTAAAAGAAAAAAATGCATCAAATTCTCATCATCAGACTATGTGCATAGGGATTAAATCTAAAATTTCTTGTATTTACCTGCCCCTTCTTTTCCTCTACTAGGTTGTTCAGTGTTTGTTATCTCAGTTATCACAGGAACTGAGGGGGAATTAAGGGGATTCTGCTGCTTTTATCTGTGAAACTTTTACCTTGGACCTACCTAACATTTCCATCACTAATAGTATATGCTATTATATCACATATATATTCTATTATATATTTATATGTTATATATATATATATATCCACACAGAAATAATTTTCTTCTAGAAAAGTTCTTGGTTATTTAACTTCTACCTGTTTAAAATCATGGGCTCAATTGCATAGCTACCTACCTAACAGCCCCCAGAAATCCAGTACTTTGCTAAAAATCATCTGAGAAGTTATTTGAGGTAACTTTTGGCTCAGATAGTCTGTCCAGTATTTGTCATTTTCCTTTCTAATTGGTATGCACAAATATACCACATCACTAAGCTAGAATATGCCATAATAAATAATAAAGGAACCAGTATTTAAATTTTTATTGGGGGTGAAAAACAATTATGTATCTCCTTAATCCAATTGAGTCCTTAATCCAATTGTAGCTTTTCTTCCTACATTGTTATTTCTATAGACTACTATTGAGAATCGACTTCAGTGTATGTTGGGAGATGTGCAGGGTGCTGTATAGTTCTATTTGGAAGATAGTAGCAAAACTTTATCCATTAACAGATACCTATCTGCTAATTATGTGTTATTTTTTTAGCATTAAAGTTCAGTTGCTTGACCATATGGAAGTAGCCACTCATAGTTTTTTTTTTTTGGTTAAATGAATACAAATTCTTGGCCACTAGACATTCCTAGATTTTTATAGAAGCTATAATATCAAATTCAGCTATATAAATGTCCACTTTAGCTGTATTTTGACTCGTCATTCAGAAAGCATTTATGCTCTTTCATACCAACAGTTTAATTTTCCAATAAGTGCTGATGTAGAGGCTAGAAATGAAAGGGTAGAAACTGTAAATGAAAAGCTATATTTTTATAAATTAAATGTGAAGACATGTGCCAAATTAAGGGGCCTTTATGTACATTTTTATGGCAACTTTTCCCATTACACAAGTAGCTCAAGTTTTACAAAAACATTAAGTGATAAATCCATTTGAGAATAAATGTAATAATGTGCACATGTGCACACATATACACATATACACATACATACACAGATGCTAAATTTACAAATGTGCCAGATAGCTGGTGGCTATTATTGAATTAAGACTAGTATATTACTAAGTCATCCCAGATTCCAATTATATTTATACATAAATTGTGCATTTATAAAAATCTTACAAATAATTCTATTTTTTCCAGGAAGACATTATAGGTAACAATTTAACACATGTAGTAAGAAAACATCTTAAATTCTTAAAATCACAATTAGAGAAATTAAACAATTGGATAAATTGATGGCTCTCATGAGTAAAGAGTTGTATTTATAAAGATCTCTCTCCATTTTCCATGTTTGAGACAATAGCAAGTCCTTTATTTATTCATCTAACAGTTTATAAGATTTCAAATTTTCTTAATAAAAGGAAAGCAAAGCATTTTTAAATATGATTTGATAGAAAGTCATATACACACGTTGACCAGTAGTTCATATTAAGAAAACTCTCTAAGGTTTTGCAAAATTAGCAGAGACCTGTCAAATCCAGTAAACTGGAAATTATCTGAAATTTGCTGTCTTCTAAGAACTCCATGGTTAGTTACATTTAGCTGAACAGTTTTACCAAGGCATAATACATATAGCTGACAACATACCATGTTCTGAGAGGCAAAGTACAGAGATGATGTTATGTGAAAGAGGAAATAGGATGAAGTTTTACTGTAAACTGGGAATAAATCATTAATATCATTTTTCTAGGAATACTAAACACTTGCCTTTGTCATGTGAATAGCCTATCTCACTGCGAAATGAATTGCCAAATATTCCAAGTGGATCCTAACATTTCAATGATTGAGAGAATCAAAATGAATTGGCATTTGTCCTGATGGTGCTCAGTAAACTTGCAGAGGAAAAGAGACAAACGATAATTGCATACATAAACACACTTAGTCCCACTTTAAAATTTATAATATCTATATACTGTACTGTATTTTTCATTCTTAAAGATGTAGACAGCAAAAATATTCACATTTAAATTACTCACAGAAATTATTCTATTCAGGAAAACCAATTATACATTAATGGGAAACTTAACTGAGGAACTTCTCCTTGGGAGGCTTATTCAGCTGAGGGTTTCTCTTTAGGATATCGTTTTTAAAAAGTAATTATAGCAGTTTCAGGTGCATGTTTCATCTGTAGGTCACCTCTTTCAATCTGAATTACAGTTCATGGGTAAAGTTAATGCTTTAGGTAACATAAATTAATAATACCAATTTCTTATAAAAATGTATATATCAGAAAACTATAATTATTACACAACTGCTGGCAAGATCAGAGAAGTGGCCAAGGATCAAATGATCATTTATACTCTCATCCCTATGTACAAGGCCCACTTAAGAAAGCTTAATAGGGACAAGCTCACACAGGCCTATCAAATCTGGGCCTCAGAGACTTCATCTGCTCGTGTGTTGTAGTATTCTTTCTATCCCAAATCACTACTTAACATGGAAACGCAAAGTAGTGAAAGAGAATTGTTTATTGTCAGTAGTATTATGAAGTAGCACTACTGAATCAGAGTAGTGATTTGTGAGCAAACTTCATACTACCATCACCCACACATGCACACAGGGACACACACACCTTTCATGTGTAACCATCAAAAAGCACTGTGAAGAGTGGTTCACCATTCTTATTTTTCCAGGATTTGCCAAAGGATTGGTCTATAGACAGATCTTTAGGTTAGCGAGCACTGCTTTAAGCAAACACATACTCTGCAATTCATGAGAAAAAAAAGACACTACCATAAAGGAAAACTTAAATAAGGTGAGTCTACCTTTTTGGAAAACATACAACTTTTCTTCTCACATTGGCCTTTTTTCCTCCTTACACTATCATGGACTACGTATATCAACTGATGTTTTCAAATAAAGAGAATTATAGTATATAAAACATAAAACAGGGAAAAACTGGCACCCAAATACTATTATGCATCCCCAAATTAAGTAGCTATGTTTTATGGAATTTCTTGTAATCAACAGTAATAATCAACAAATGAAAATTAAAACCATTTTCCAATGGGAAATCACCATCAACACTATATAGAGATGAAGTTCCTAAGGGCTGAGAAGATAAAACTGTTCAGTCTGTTTCTTATTTACTGGGGGTTAGGGTGGGTGGTCAGGGACTTGATGAAGGTATGGAGAAAGCCAAGAAACAAATCAAGGTTTTAGGAGTAGAGAAACTACTTTGCCAAAGGCCAATCGGCTATACAACATTATCAGTGTAGGCAGATGGTGGAAACAAGTCAACAAGAAGCAACTTGTCAGTCCTGTATGTACAAATGATTTCTTGGGCCTTATTGTAACCTCACAGGGGTGGGCTGCTTTAGCATATGAAGGACTGCAGAAAACTCCACCTGTTGAGAAAATGGGGAATACACTGTGGAACATTCCCAAAGCAATATGATGTGGACAAATTGTAAGACTTAGGTATGTCCCAAAGTGAACTTACTTATTTTGGCTTGCTGTCTTTTAGACTAAAGATGGAGTATTAATTGAATGACCCTACGAAATGAAATAGAAATCAGGTATCTCAGATAATCATACAAATAGAAATGGAAGTTTTCTCTGTTTTGTTCCTGGAGGGAAAGAGATCTTGGCGTACTTTCCATGGCTGGAGGAACAGAAATGATTTGTTAGTCTTTTGGCAATAGAGAAATCTTTACCTCAGATTTTTAGCTATAAATTTCCTATTCATCAGCAACGGAGTCCAACCTGGAGCATATTACAAAAGTGAACTGATTCACCCTTCAAATATATGGTATTAATGACACCCTATAGCTTCTGTTCTCCTGGGCAACTTCAATGTAAGAAAGACAGCTGATTATAAATCATATGTAACACAGAAAGAATGACATGTACTTTCACCTGCAGAGCTAGGCACAATATAAAGCAAAGAAAAATAATGTTTTCACCTACTGCTTATTTCCAATTTTACATGTGCATTTCATGTTCAATGTTGGTAAGAATTGCTAATATTATTGTGAGGTGAAATGAATGAGAATAACCCTAGAAAGAGGCAATATCTATCAAGACTAACTCACAAATGCATTGGCAGAGATGAAAAACATAAAAGATTGTATATGTCCTTATTACAAGAAAAAATACTAATGTTTAAATGATTCAAAATCTAAAAACAAAAATATATAGACACTAGCTTCCATTCAATACATGAGATTAATTGGATATAAAAGTTAAGCATTTTTGTATTTTTTAATACAATGGTTTCCTCAAAAATGATTTTAAACTATTTCAGGAATTATCTGAGATAGCCATATTTAATTTGGGATCCAAAAAAGAAAAATAAGTATCATGGTGAATTGATTACTATATATTAAAAACAAGAAATAGCAAATTTACCATTTGCAACAAATTAGAAATAACAGGACTCATGATGCCATTCCTAGTCTGGGATTACCCGTAAAATACGGGCAAATAAAATCAGGTTCAGGGTTCTTTGTGATTAAAAAAAAAATACCTTCCCAGAAGGCAAATAAAAGAAATGCAAGGTCAGTAACAATGGACAATGGAGAAAAGAGCTAACAAAATATTTAAAAATCCTATCATGAAATTAAGTTTAATCAAAACACTATCAATTTTGCTACAATTGTCATAAGAAGTGAAAGTTATTGTTCTTGAAATTCAGATGTTTGTACAAAGTGCCACTGTCAGGTTATCTTGGCTTGAGGTAAAGACTTTTAAGATTGAATTGTTCATGACAGATCTCTGAAGCTTGAGAGCATAAGGCTCCTCTCTGGTATGCAATCCCAGGGCTCCTAACACTATGTGTAATTGTGACTCATTTTACTATAGTTCAAATCTGAAACATGAGTTTAATTCAATGTTTCTCCCTCCCCCAACAGTTCTGCCCAACACCTTTGTCATGCGCGCGCGCGCGCGTGCACACACACACACACTCACACACACACACGCACACACACATCATTATTTTCAGAAGGAATACATCATTACTGATTTGACAAGAATAAATCATCTGAAATGAAGAACTAGTACATGTATTGCTGAATTTTCACTTAGAGACCATCATCAGCTTAAAGGAAAGAGAAAATTCCTCTTGAGTGAGATGAATGAGATTAAGCAATGCTTTTCAAAGGCTCTGGAGTTTGGATATATAGTTGGTGCTTCTCTGTGGTTATTGTATCACGGTCGTAACACAAACTATCAGCAAGTTATCTGTTTCAGAGTCTAAAATTAGTCTTCATATGTTGATATTAGCAAATTGGTATGCATATGTATAATTAAACATGACCCAAAAGATCTGGAAAGTGTCATAGAGCAAAGTGCTTTTTATAAGGGAAGTAATTTAAAACATATTTCCTCATTGCCTTCTGAACTGTCATGCAATGCAGATTTAGCCTATTCAAGTCAATGTCCAGGAGGGAAGTTACTGTTGCTACAGGTGATTTTCCTCAGAATGTAAGTCCTTTGTCCCTGGAACAGAGCAGGCGCTCTGCTGCCAGGGAAGAAAGACAGCAGCAGGGACTGGTACCAGTCAGTACTGCCCTAGCAAGCAAGTTACTGATCTAGATAAAGTAGCAGCACTCCAGAAGCTCTCAGATGCCCTTGGGTATCCAGATAACTCTTTTCTCCCTGGTGTTGAAAGTCTCAATCATTTGACTGTTTGTAGCATCTCTATGGAGATGTTCACAGGATGTCTCAATGAAAGATAGCATTTCACACTGGTGTGTTATTAAAAATTTACCTGTAGTGTGCCTAGTGAAAAGTGATAAATTCAAGCAAATGGTTCTGTGATCACTTCAGGGCTTTATCATGAGAACAAGAAAACATGTTGCTAAAAATATGACAACCCCTGTCACTTTATTGCTGTGATCTAGGTAATTTGAGCTAATTAATGATTTTTGTATCACCTAAGACAAACAAATCAAGAATTCCATTTAAAGTAGTTATTGCAGAAATATACTGTTGAAGCCCCAGTTAAGCTTTTGTCGATCTGAAGTGTTTTTCTCAAACAAAAAAAAATACAAAAATACTTTTCACTCAAAGTAACCGAGAAATTGTTTGATTTGACATAAGGATAAAGGAATACTTTCTTCCATTACTTGAGACAGTACACTTTAGGATTCACAGGATAACTTGCATCAGACACAATTTAATGAAAGCTCTCAAATAAGCGATTTTATTCCTATCCATGATTGCAGACATTTACAAAACCATAACATCTGAGTTCACCTTAAAAAATAACTTATATAAAGCAGTGATATACACAGCACAAAATAGTTCAGGGAGGGGACAGGAGCAACTTTTAATAATTAAAATGTAAACGTGAAAAAAAGGATGGAATAAAAGTCCCTACCTATTTCTACTTAAGATGTCATGTGATAATATTTTACAATGTCCTGTGGGTCAATGCATGTATGCGTATATGTCCATATAACATCCACATATACGATACAATCTCCTTCCCACACATATACATACACAGATAATTATTTGCAGTTCAGATTAGGGCAATTCTAATGTGCCACTCCGTACAGTTGTTTGAATCACGTTTGGACCCGCTTTCTTCACAAAATAGGGGAGAGAGCAGGAAATAAAAAGGTTGGTTTGGTGTGACTGAGATTCCTTTACTGTACACTGTGATGAATAATTTTCTTCCGTAGTAGTTCTGTGAAGGGCTGACTCACTGTGGTTTTCATGAGGAGACGCGTAAAGGATCACACACTCATTGTCATGCTAGGGGAGTACTAGAAGAAAAAAAGAAGAATCCATATTTTATCAGTAACTAAGGTTCTTCATGTTACAACAAAAGATATGGTGAATTTTACCTTCTTATGATCATTTATACCTAGGCTTTTAACATCATACGACATAAAAATAATAAACTATAAAAAGAATGTTTTATATAGATGCCATTTTGTTTTAATTTTTTTAAAAAAAATATTCCCTCTGGGAAGCCATCATTCAGCCATTATACAGCCTCTTAAGATACCCCATACTAGCCAGATTATGTGTGTTCTGCAGATACTTCTCACAATTTGGGCAATTCCAGTCCAAAGTTGGATTGTAATGAAATAAGAATAGGGACTAGCTTTTGCTATGTATAGCCATATAAAATGAGGAATTAACTAATCTCACTCAAGATCTGTTTCCATACCTGTAAATGGGGTTTCCTAAGAACTAGTGGTTTGGGGAGGACAAAAATTCTAAGAGCTGTCTTACTAGATACATAGATGGTACTTAGTAAATACTAGATGAATAGTGCAGGGCAGCAAAACAAAACAAAACTAACTCCCAGCTAGCCTGGAGAAGTTCTCATTAAAACATTTTAAGATACTTCAGTTTATGTTAATACATAACCTCCTGCTTCTAATCTGTAATTTCAGTCTCAATCTGTTACCTTTTTGTGTGAGGTCAGAGCCATAGTTGCTAGATACTTGTTGATGCTGAGACTGACAAACAATACAATGTGAGGCTTTTAGAAGTTTGGAAAACAGTGGTCTTCAGGAGGGAATAGCAATGCTCTATAGGAAATGTACTCATTACCTTACCCATGTAACTGTAACCCCCCATGTACAGTATCTTTATAATAAAAATATTAAAAAAGGAACATAAAATGATTTAGAAAGGAATGATATACCAATTTACTCCTTGCTCTTGAGTGATACACTGTGGCAAAAAGTTCTAGAGCATCACTGTCCAGAACTGCCCCATAATCTCTAGCAAATCATGACCATTTTGGATGCCACAGTTGTAAATCATCTGAGCCATGGGGGAAGCATCGAGCCTCAGATGGTACTGCACTGTAAATGAAAATGACTTCTAGGTTTTTCTAGGTTACAATGGAAATATTAATCATGAAATATTTAAAGTGCTTTATTGAAAATCTGTGAGGACCAGGGAAAAAGGTGATTCTTTTCAATGTGCTAGTAATGATTGTGTCTTGGGAAAGGGAGCAGGTAAAGTTCAAGGACTGACAGTCCCAGGTTGCAGGGGCTGAATGGGAACAATGATACTGAGAAGGGAAAGTGACTTCTTAGAAGATCAGTGACACGAATTCCAGGCAAGCTGAGATGGACTTCGGAAACCAAGAGAAGAGGATAAACTGTGCCAAGGTAAGGATGAATCAAAATAAGAAAGATGGGTTTCTCAGAACAAGAAGGGGTAAAAGTGGCTTAGCTGGCAGGCCTTGGAACCACAAGTTATTAGGGTTCAAGCCAGAACACGCATTGTTCCTGAATAAAGGCACAGGATGCAGTCTAGAAAAAGGGTGTTACACCATTGGCAGAATTGCTAGTTCTTTAAACATAGGCTGTATCAAGAAAAATCTACTTGTTAAAATGCTTTAATAGGCCAAAAATTTGCTTCAGTTCAAAAGGCCAAGTTACACAGTTGAACTGACTCTTATAATAGACAACAGGGAAGCGAGGGTGATTAAAGGGAGACTGCCAAAGAACAGAGATTCAGTCTAATAGAAAAAGTCACTCACTGTAACCTTTATCATGGCATAAACAAACAAAACAAAAGCAAACCAAAACCAATCCAAAACTTTTCAAACAATCACAGATAAGAGCTATTGAAATGGAGCTAACCACCAACTTTGTTCTGGAGTGGGAATACACTTTCCTTACAAAGTGTATACAGTCTCACAAATAATCTCAGTAACCATCAACTTAACTAGCCAAAGCCTTTAACTAAACAGAATTATACTTTGATATTTTATTTTCAGGGTGAAGAATCAACAAGAAAACAAACACATATCAATGTTTTAATGTATATTAAAAAATCAGAAACAGTGATAAAATGGGCACTGAGAAATTCTGTTTCTTACAATATTATTATTTTAAAAAGAACTTATGATGGAAACATTGCTGGGTAAGTCACAGTTAACTCCAAAGACCATCTCATTTAATATATATCCTTAATAACTGGGATTTAAAATGTTCTTGAATCCTTTGCTCATATTATTGTTCTAGCTCATTCATATGTCATGTAAAATTAGCAAATAGTTAAAATATAATAATCTTCATTCTAATATATATTATTAAAAGATGCATACATGTACATACAAGTGTGCAATAGTCTATTATCAAATATTTTCCCTGATTTTTATGATCGTTTAACACTAGGAATTGTTAAAATATGTCATGTTTGGTATTTCAAATGTTATAAGGGAATCTTACAGAAGAATAATTGATTGATTGGGAAGTTAAGAGAAATGCGTATGGCCAGGGAGGAAACTGAGTAATGGAATAAGGTATGATAATAAATCAAGGACAAGAATCAGTCAGGAAGGATGGAAGCATTAGCTCCAAGAAATAACTTATTATTATTACTTATCATTATTTTCATTAAGCATCTAATAAAGTACTATTTTGGGGTATAAATAACTGTAGAATGCTGTGCTTACCGTCTCTAGTACAGTTAAATAGGCATCAATATATGCCAGCCAGGGGGTGTCTTTATGGCCATGCTATTTGTACTTGTAAACTGTATTCAGCTGCCTTTATTGACACTGCTTCAATTTCCTTGACACTAAAGGAAATCACAAAAGTTCTAGGAAATCTCACAGAATGTGCAAGCTAAAGAACTTTTTCTGTTGATCATGATTCCTCAAAGTGGTAGCAAAGTGGCTTACATTTTTTTCCAGAAGAAAAGGAAGAGTGAGTGTTAAATGGAGCATCATATTTAAAGGCATCAAATATTCATGGTGCTCTGTACTGAGACCACACTCCAAAGTTTCTACTGAACCACAGCATCAATATGCAGTGGCATACTGCAGTGTTTATACCAAAACATTGGGATATCAGGTTGCCCTGTTTCAAAACTATTCTGTGAATCTGGTTTTCCTCAGAGGCTTTCACCAAGGTATCACCAACATCATGGTTTATAGTTTATCTTTTAAAAGAAGTACCATAAAGGTATTATTTTAAACAGATCACAATTTATTTTACCTTAATGTGTAAACTATATTTTGAGATAGCATGACAGTATGAACTTGTGTTTTCCCCTTTCCTTTATCCAGTTTACATAACACAGAATCCAGTAGTTATTAAATCTTTCAACAATATATATAAATTCTTGTTTCTCAACTTCAAGAATATGTTAGATCTCACTGAATTTTTATGCCTCATTTTCTATATAGTATTTTATTTTCTTAATGAGAAATAAGGAGTAGCTGTTCTGCTTTGAAATAAACTAAGGTGAAGTTTATGTAACTGTATAAAAATCTGGGTTTGATGTGATTTCTTTATAATAGCAGAAACAGAGCATATTCCACCTTGTTTGTCACAAGGAAATAATTTTTATGTAAATTAGCTCAAGGAATTAGACCAGATAGTTTCTTTACTGGAAAAGCATGCAAAACTATTTTATTCTGTACCTTCTAAAGCAAACATTTTACAACATTTAAACACTAGGGGGCATCTTTGTTTCTTATAATAAAGATTTTTTTGTAAGCCAGAAAAAGAGGGAAGTGGTGAAATGGGTGGGTTTTTTTAGTTGATATTTTGCTCTGTTGTTTACATTGGCTTTTTAAGGTTAAGACATAGGGTTGGGAGTTTTTGTATAATTAAATGAAGTAGCTTGGGTGAAGTGACTAGGATATAAATACTAAAGACACATTTGTTCCCCTCTCAGATATCTTTTGCGGTAAAAAGTGATAAATCCTCATATGGCAGACTGCTCAAAAGTATGTGCTTTTCAGAGGAATGTATACTGAATATCAGAATTTAAATATTCACTTGTTGGAACTTTTTTCTTTTAAAATTTATTAAACAGTATGCATTGTCTTGATTACAGTAAAGGTATCTTATTAGAAATAACTAGCTTTTAGGTGACAACGAATCTCCTTTTGTTTTTCTTCCTCTCACTGCTTCATCTTATTAAAAGGTCTAAGCAAAAAATTTGGTTGTAGATAAAGAAAGGTCTAGATGACACTGACCCTAGTCATAACACGGCTTTCTTCACTAGACAGATGAAAGGCTGGAGGGAACAGTGCATGTGGACCTTCAAGGCTGACTATCGCCATGGGTTGTCTCAGGCTGCCATTCATTCAATTATTTTACTTTAACTTTTTGACTTTTCTCCTGGGGACAGGGAAGGGTGAAGAAGGAGAATGCAGGGAGCCTTTGTTTTCTAACTGCTAACAGTCTGGTGTTAAACCTTCTTGGGTTCAGGGACAGTAAGGCTTGGCCAGGAGAGCCAGGGTTTGGTTCCAACTGCTTGTGCTCTCTATTCTAAATGTATACTCTTACAACTGGCTCTGTTGTTTTGCCTGGACTAAGTCTGGTTGAGATTCAAAGGTGAGGCTGGTATATATTTGGTATGAAGTAGTTCGTCAAGTCCTGTTATATCTGATTCTCTGCCCCACCTACTATGAAGAACTTTCTGATGCCTGTTTAGAAATGGTTTCCCTTTTCAGACTGCTAAACCAGGCCAGCAGCTATCAGTGACAACAGGGAGAAGGAAGGAGAGAAAGGGATCTCTTTATGCCTGCCCATAAAGTTAAAATCTTGAGTAACTCTTTTCAAAATATTCTTTTTTCAATCTCAAATTAATAATTTCCTCTTACCTTTAAAGCATTTGGTTAATATCTGTTCCACATTTATTTAAATTATTATAGTTTTTAACTGACAAAATCGTACATATTTATAGAGTACTATGACTCTGATACATAAATATACCATGTAATGTTCAAATTGGGTAAACCTATCTCCTCAAACATTGTCATTACTTTGCAATAGAAACTAAAAATCCTTCCTAGTTGTTTTGAAATAAATATCTAGCATACTAGAACTTTTTTCTCCTATCTACCTATAATTTTTGTACCAATCTACCAACTTGTATCCATTCCCCATACTTTTCTGGCTCTGGTAACCAACATTCTATTCTTAACTTATATGAGATTAACTTATTTTAGATTCTACATGAGTGAGAACATGATGTATTAACCTATATTTTGCCTGCCTTATTTTACTTAATATAATGTCTTTCTCTACTATACGTGCTGTCACAAATGGCAAAATTTAGTCTTTTTTTGTGGCTTAAGAGTACTCCATTATGTAAATATGCCACATTTTCTTTTTTTATTAGTTGATAGAAGCTTAGCTTGATTTCATTTCTTGGATATTATGAATTGTGTATTATAACACTTATTAACCTAATGTATACTTTAGTTATGTAAGCAAGCATGTTTTCTTATTGGATTGTATCCTTTGAAGATAGGTACTATTATATTTATCCTAGAGTATTATCCTTAACTTAGTGTTTTGTATATAGGAGGCTCAATAAGTGGACCAAATTGATTTGTTAGGTACTTCATTGGATTTTACTATGAAAAGTTAGAAAAGAAAAAGATACATATCTAACTAAAAAGTTAGTTAGAAAAAGATAACTAGACAAGCACACCTAGGAAAATTGTTCCATAGCTGTGAAGTAAAATAGTGAACAGAATCTAATAACAATTTCTGTAATTTTTATATACCATATATCCTGCAAATAAAAACAAAGAAAAGATCAGTTTTTTTCTTTTTTTTTCTTCTTTTCTCTTTCTTTTTTGTTAGTATTCTTTCTCTCTTTCAATTAAAAAAAATAAAAAATCAAAAGAAGTCTTGTACCACACAATGGCTGTTGGTTGAGAGCAAGAACTAAAAGAATCCACATGTCACTCAATTTGGGGTTCCATTTAGAGAAACAACTACTCTAATAGCTGAAATTCAATTAGCCTTCAATTTATGATGGTATTACTTCTGGTAAAGATCAAGTTAGGCAAAATGAGGGGAACTGTTTCTTCCAGTTCTATCTGTACTCTGATAGATAATCCATAATAAATTTAACAATGGCAATACATATGTGGGGCACTGATTCCATGAAGAACAATTTCATTTAGGTTTTGAAATCTTTTATAGTATCTTCAAATCTAGTGGCTCTGCCAGAAAATGTCAGAAAAGATTTATCATATTCAAATGTGCCTAGCCACAGTTTTGGTAATTCTCACTCACTAGGTAACACAATTTAAAAAATACTATACTTAAAAAATTTCGTAAGAGGGCTGGGAAAGTGGCTCAGTGGTAGAGTGCTTTCCTTGCATGCATGAGGCCCTGGCTCAATTCCTCAGCACCACATAAGTGGAAAAAACCAGAAGTGTCACTGTGGCTCAAGTGGTACAGTGCTAGCCTTGAGCTGAAGAGCTGAGGAACAACGCCCAGACCCAGAGTTCAGGCCCACAACCGACAAAAATAAACAAACAAACAAACAAATAAAATAAAAAATCATAAGGATTTCTAATGTAAAGTAATGGTTAAAAATAAATGCTTTAAAAATAAATGCTTTAACACCTTGTCTTTTAAGGGTCATTTCAGTGCCTAGCAAATTGCCTTGGCATAGTTCATTAAGTGAGTAAATAAATTTCATTGTTTCGCTTTTTGGTCTAGTCCACTTTGATGGAGATGGAATGATAGTTCTTAGTCTTAACACTACAATCACACTCAAAAAATGATATGGGTAGAGGATTCAGGTTAACGTACCACAAAATACTTACAGAATATTTCCACAGTGTTGCTATGGATAGCACTCAGAATAGAATGGTTTTCCAATAACCTGAGACATTTTTTGCACCATGTCAACTTGTAAGAAGCATCAAATAGAGCCCAGTGATAGTGGCTCATGCCTGTAATCTTAGCAACTCAGTAGGCTGAGGATCATGGTTTGAAGCCAGTTGGGGCAGGAAAGTTCATTAGACTTTTATCCCCACCAAAAAGTTGGAAGGGAGCTCTGGCTCAAGTGGTAGAGCACTAACCTTGAGCAAAAAAAAAAAAAAAACCTCCAGGAATAGCTCCCAGCCTGAGATCAAGCCCCCGGGCAGGCCCCTCCCGCTCCCGCGCATGCGCTCATGCATCCACACACAACTGTATCAAATAGGCAACCTACTTCCAAGATGATTTTTTACAGTGGATGTTCTCTCTTAGAAAATTCATATTATGGTTTTTGTGACAATGCTCACAGTTGTAAAGAGGAAAAGTTTAATTTTTTTTCGAAGAAATATCACTTAAAAGTTCTAACTTTTAAAATCTCAACCTACTGAAGCCTAGATAAACAGCAGTAATAACAGTTCATGCATTTATTCTTATATTAGATATTCAGAAATGAAACCTGTATATATTATATAGTCAAGACAATACTTACACTCTCACTCTGAAAAGGATTTAAGAAATTTCCCCCCATTTCGCCATCATCCCGTGGAGTGCCAGGTTGATTACTCAGGCTCATATTATTGGGAGAATTCTGTAAACAAGGCATTGTTGAACATTTTAATTTCCTTTTTGCATTGTACAGTTTAAAAAATTCAATGTGCAACAGCATCTCCAAGGACAAAGCAGAATTATAATTTTAATCTTAGATTGACTATGCAATTTACTTCATCTTCTGTGCCTTGACATGTATTAATATTGCCCAAGTGAAAATTAGAAAACAAGCAAAATCCAAAAATAACCTAATACAACTATATCTTTTTTCAGTCTCAGTATCAACATTTACTCCATTCCCCGCTCTTGGTTCAGTTTCTAAGATTCTGGAGATTTAAAAAACTTTCCCATCAGGAGCATAGTGAAAAGAACCTAACCATGTAGAAGCAACAGGAGTCATAAATTTCTTAGTAATTTTACTAAGCAAAGCTTGAAATTTCAGTGCTTTAATATATAGTTTCCTTTGATTATATGGGCAGCTTATAGCTATGATGATTTCAGCTATTTTGCATGAAACATAAGGAAAAGAGGATAGTAAACTTAACTGTAGTTAAGAACATCAGATACATCTTTAGATTATTTGTGTGCTTTTAGAGGAAAAGGAGGCTAAAACCTGCTTTAGAATCTTTTTCCTGTCATTAGTTTAAAAGTAGATTTACTTTAAATTCTTTTCTAAGACAAAATGGCTATGGTGACTAGTGATATAATCAAACATGAAGTTAGTAATACACTGCTTTAGATTCCATTTAAATTTATCAGTCTCATGATTATTGTGCAGTCTGAATCATGTGAGGAGATTTAGTGGCATATTAGCCATGTTTATATAATATTACAACTAGGATGGAGGGGACTCTTTCAAGGCTAATTTATTGACTTGCAAAAAAATTCAGAATTAAACATTTTTATTTGTTATTCCAAATGGAACAACAATATAAGGTTTCTCTAAGTCATTATAAGTTTAAATGTTTTGTACTGGAGTAAATTTTTACATATTTTAAAGGGGAAATTTGCTTGGAGAATTTTTATTCAACAAAAACAAGGTATACCTTAAACATTAACATTTTTTTTGGGGGGGGGTCCAGTCGTAGGGCCTGAACTCTGGGCCTGGTTGCTGTCCCTCAGCTCTTCAGCTCAAGGCTAGCACTCTACCACTTGAGCCACAGCACCACTTCCGGCTTTTTTTCCCCTGCTATGTGGTGCTGAGGAATCGAACCCAGGGCCTCAAGCATGCAAGGCAAGCGCTCTACCACTGAGCCACCTTCCCAGCCCTTAACATTAACATTTTATGAATGAGTTATACAAAATATTTTCAGTGTTTTTATTTCCACTTTTGATGCAGTCTCTTCCTATAATGATGGCTCAGAATGAACACTCTTTTTGGAGGGTTAGAGTGGAGGATATATAAAGGTGTTGAAAGGAATATTTAAAGGATACAACATAAATTGGCTAGTATCAGATCTCTGAAAGTCATACTTTTCCTGCTCATGGCGCCACCTTTGAAAATCTTGAATTGAAAAGGGCAAAATATCTTGTTTCATTTTTTACCTGAAGTCATTTCTGCAAAACGTTGTGCAAACAAGAAAAGTTCCTCAATGTGGAGTCTTAAGGAGACAGGGCAGTCTACACTCATTACAATCATGGAGTGACATGATGGAGAGACAGGCAAAAGAGCATCTGGGGAAGATGCAGGACAGTGGCACCCAAACTCAACCCAAAGCAGGTGGTGAGTGATGAGTGTGATAATGAATCGCATGCACGGTTTCTTAACTGTGACTCTATGTGTTTTCAAGGTCTCCAGTGGAATTCATCATCAAGGCAAGAATATGATGCACAAAAGGAACTTAGGCTGGTTATAAAGGTAAAGATTAATTTTAGATACGTTTGTCACAGTTCTTACATAAGTGAAGAAAACTTTCTCTGTTCTCTAAGAATTTAGCTTAAAAGAGGATTTCAGTCATCTCATTTTTCAAGGAATTTTTTTATTAAGTTCTGCTTTACCTTTTCTTCAAGCAGGAAAGATTTCCTCTTAGTTAAATTATGAGAGCATATGTGAATGCTAAACACTTCTATTATATGTCTAAATAATATATCATATACAATTTCCTCTGTCTGTTATTTTTACTTTTCTGGCCTCTAATTTTGTCTGGCTAGTATTCTTTCAAATCCTCTCTTAATTAATAAGTTATTTTTCTTTTTTCTACACTTAAAAATATGCCCAAATTTTCTGAACCTCTTTGTAATTCAAAAATGTTTAAATTTCAAGTGAAAAAGTGAGCTTCGAAACTTGGTCTTCACCTTTAATCATAATAAAACAATATTATTATTGGAAGCTTTTCTGAAAATGATTTTAAATTTATTTTTCCACAGGCTGTCAGGAATGAGTTCATAGAGTGTTTTGATTATGCTAGACCCCACAACAACAAGTTGCAAGGAATTCTCCTCATGGATACAAATGAACTCAAGCGAGCACACTGGGTGATCTATATTGTCAATTATTCCCATGTGAGATCACTCAGAGGTATCAAGGTTCTGGAGGTGTGTAAGCCTCAGATTCAAGACTTTTAAAAAATCATTTAACATAGTATGATCAGATCTTGCTTTCTTATGAGTTTTTTTCTCTTTAAATTAAAAAATATCAAAGCTAAGTAGCTAAATGTGAGTGGCAGAATATTTTTAGGTGCTTTCCTTCTAAGAAAACAAATCACATACTTTTGTCTATTCTACTTCCTAAAACAATTCCATGGGAAAGCAATTTTCATCCATTGATTCAATGGGTGACTTTTTTAAGTTGCAAAAGGGATGAGAGGAGTTTTAAATTTCAGTAAAGAAGTGGCATCTAAATTAAGGATGAATTCTGCACATTGAGAAAGAAATAAATGACTTTTAACAAATAATCCTCAATTGATCAAGTAATGATTTCTGCAACTTTTTATTTGTGGCTTTAAACTAAAAAACACAATACTAAAAAAGTGTTGTCAAAGTGCCATTGATAATCGTTTTTTGTTATTACTCATAAAACACTGTGCTAATTAATGAAAAAGAAAATATTAAGTGTATATAGTATTTCACATGTTCACATTTGATTAAATAGCCAGGGAATTATTTTACAGCCAAGGAAACCAAGCCTAGAAAAGATGAATACATTCTTACAACTTATAAGTAGTAGGAACACATGAAATGGAATACACACACACACAATACCAATGCTTGACAAAATGCATGTTCATAACTGATGGGTTAGGAAGATGTACCTCAAGATCTAAGAGAATTTGAACAAAATTACTAATCAGTGATAGCCAACAGTACCTTCCAAGTCACAAATGATAACTAGGAAAAGATTGGGGTAGAAATGAATGACACCAGGAAATGAATGAGACAAGTTCTTGACATAGATGGAAAAATTAAAGAGATGGGCACAGTGGAGTTAGTAATTATGTATACCTTGGAGTAAAGGAGTAAGGAAAAAACAGTGAATTTGTGAGTGGCAAGACATAGGGAGTGTTGCTAAGAGAAAAGTGACTATAGTACCACAGACAGGAGTGCTATCCGTCATCTCAGCCAGGTTAGAGACCAGAACCAGAGAAACCAGAGTAGGCACAGTGTAGAAACAGGCTCTTTAGAAACTCATTCGAAGGCAGATGCCACTAGTCTTTTCTAGCACATTGGTAAGTGGCATACTTACTACTTGGGGGACAATTCTAATGTCAATCTGAGTATATACAGACTTTGTAAAAATGTTTATTTGGTTTCTTCAGTTACATTATGCTTCTTGAGAACGATGACCATAATTACGCTTATCTTTGGATTTTTAGAGTTCAACATAATGTATTCATGCATTAGCATTTACTTAATAAAGGAATGTCTGCCTAAGGAGAAACCACTTGAGGACAGAGACTATGTTTGCATTTAAAGAAGTCTTTTAACAGTATGTTCACAAAAAAAATAAAAAAAAAATAAAGAAGTCTTTTACATCTCCCCGCAGTAGGCAAAGCAATACCCAGTACACAAAAGTACACAGTGGATGGCCAAGTAATGTTTAGAGAATAAACAATACTTCAGCCAGGGAATGTTACCAGAAACAGACATAGTACAGTAGAGAACACTTGAACATAGGAATGAGAAACAGAATTCAAGGAACAGCAACTGATTTGCTATAAGAGCAGATTAAAGGATAGCATTTAGTTAATCATTAAACTCTATTTAAAAATGTTAAAATGCGTAATAAAATACATAGTACTTCCCACATAGAATTTGGTCTGTATCTCTCTAATGAAAAAGTTAAGGGTTGTTGATGGTAATTTAGAAAGATGGCCTACAGCATTTGTATGCTCCTACTCCTGTGCAGTTAAGAATCATCTTTTTCTTATTGTTGGAGCCCTTGTTCAAGTGGTAGAGTGCCTTCTTAGCAAGCATGAACCCCCTGAGTTCAAACCTTAGGACACAAAACATCACCTCTAAATACACATGTGTCAAATATGACATTAGATATTTCACTGGAGACCATAGGGGAATTTTAACTAGTTCAATTGTTAGAAGTTCCCTGAGGGCCAACATAGCATCTCACTTGTAAGACCATCTCTTAGACAGAAGGTGTGTATATATCAATATGGGGCATCTCAATCTGAAAATAGGCTTTCTGGATACTGTGTTTCACAGAGGTAAGCACTGCTCATTGTAAATATTTATCTTCTGAAAAACAGACTTTTCTGATTGTTCCTAAATATATTTATTCAAAGGGTCCAGAGAACTTGTGAGGACAAACAGTCAAATAATATAGGTACAATTTCACTTGTAAATTTTCTTTTAGCTTAGAGTCTTAATTAAAAATATTCTATAGTTCAATCTTATTTTCTTTTCCCTGGCATGAGAAAACTTACATTATTATACAGAAATATAAATTTGAAGTAGAATTGAAAGCAAAGTCAACCTATAATGATTTCCTTTATTTACTGCTGTAAAATACACTTCTAAGAGTCATTCTACTGATGGCTAATAATTATTTCTTATCAAGCATTCTAAATATATTTGACTCTTAGAGAGTTATTTTAAATCCACCATGACTTAAAAAAGCATTTTGATATTTCTCACAAAATAAGGCATTTCTACCGAAGGAATAACTTTAGATGTTTTTAAAGAGGAAAAATATAGACATACTTTTCTACTTTTTACTTTTACTCTAATTACTTTCATACTCTATTTTGTAGGTTTATCTGTTTTCATATTACTTAAGATATGATTACATTTTCGATGAGTAAACTGTTAGTGTAGTGTAAAAATACGTTAAATCTTACCATGATTATACTGGTAATTGCTTAGATGTCAATCATGTGTAATATGTCCTAAATATGAATCTTAGCATATTTAGCACTTTTGAATGATTCATATTACCCACTCTTGCAGATTACATACATCAATATTGTACTTGGCAATTAATCATATCTGAACTTCTATTTTCAAATTTTGTATGAAAACTAAATTAATAAATTTATTTTAATAATTCTTTTTTGTTGAAGTTCTGTTATTTTCTGGACAGGGTGTCATGTTTTTGACCAGTGCCATCTTTGAACAGTTATCCTTAAACGTAAGGCCCTCAGTAGCTGGGATTACAGATGTTAGGGCTTGCCATCATTTTGCTCAAAAATAGTCTCAAAGCTGGATCTCCTGCTAGCTGCCCTGAGTAGCTGGAATGCCAGGCATGAGCCACTGTGCCTGATTCAAGTTACTTTAATGATATTAGTAAGAGTTCCATGAGGAATAAAATATAGATCAAAACAACATAAAGAATAAGTAGTACTCACCTTGGAAATACTGTCCATATCTCCTGAGCCTAAAGGGGAAAAAACATGAAAAGCAATCCCTTGTTAGGTAAGATTTATAAATTAAAAACTACTGCAAGATAAATCATCAGCAACTGATGGTTAAAAAAAAGAATTTTACTCTACTTCCCAATCATCTATTTGTTTAAATGGCAGGATGGAGAATGTCATTGCTATTATAGACTCTTTAAAGTGAAATATTAGGACATGTATATGTGCTATTTCACTAAACATTTTAAAATGTATATGCAATAAATAAATATAGATCTCAATATATTTTCTGAAAACGATGTTGTAAATCTGATAAAACATCAAAGGAAATTTACAGCAACATTTGACAATATATCGAGCTATATTTTACTGTAATAACCTAAAGCAAAGTATCTTTAATGATATATTTTTAAATGGACAGTAATTAACATCCATGGTAAACAAATGTCTCCAAAAGATAGCTTTTTAATTTTTATTCCTGAGGGAAATGATCAATACTGTTTTTCTTACATAAAAAGTAAGCTTCTCAATGATACATCACCTGCCTAACATGCATGAGGCCTATGTTTAAGCCTCAATGCTACCAAAATAAAAACAATTATAATCATACACAATATAATCACAACCTTGACACAATATTAGTTTCACTTTAAACTACTGAATTCTCAATAATTATTTTTTCCTAGCATAAAGATATAACTTTTTAACAGAAAAGCATTTAATCACCACCACAAATAAAGTTAGGGTTTAATAGATTAATTTGTAAATAAACAGGCTCAACAAACTGTTACGTATTGAATTTACATAGGCAATTCTTTATAGATGTAACTGTACAATAATATTCAGATTAGATAAGTAATGAGCTAGTTGCCAAGCACAGAAGAAAACTTCTGAAAATTCTAGTCTACTGAATAATATGGCAGAGAGTCTTGAAAGACGACCAAGTGTCATCATTTTGTGACTATTTCTGTAAGTTAAAAAATTCAAGGGGAAACAAAGGAGGAGGCAACAACGCTTGATAAGAAATGTACGCATTATCTTGCCCATGAAATTGTAACCCTTCTGTACGGTATTTTCACAATAAAAAAATTTACAAGTGACTTATTTTTGTATTAAATCGAACAAACAAGCTCTAAAACAGTGCTGTCCAACAGAACATTATGTGATGGTGGATACATGGTGGCCATTATGTCAGCCATTAGCTTCATGTGCCTGTTGGCACCTAACATGTGCCAACTGAAAAACTGAATCTTCAATTTTACTATACTTTAGTCACACAAGGCTCATGCCTACTGTAATTAAAAAACAACATCAGCAAAGGTAGCAAGACAAATTAATATTTTGAAACCTAGGCTAAGTGAGTTATGGATCCTTAAAAGCCCAAAAGTCAAGGCAAAAAATTATGGGATCATTGGAGTTATGCAGACTTTCAGAATATCTGAGGGAGTGAAATCCTTATATAACCTAAATTGCATATAGGCTCAGTTTGTCTAACTTGATAAGACTCTTCCCAAAAGGAAACAAAAAGCTGTAACTGCATACCCCTTTTGTCAGCTTTTTAAATTTGTTTATGGTCATGTCATTTAAATATATAGAAACATAAAGTATTTTTTCTTTTGGTTTTACATTCCTCCTCCCTAGTTAGCATGCTACATGACCTAGTCATTTTTGTACTATTTATCTCTCTCACTATTACAAAACTTTTAATTACCTTTGGCTTCCTTTGTTAAGAAGATACTGTGTATGAAAAATCTTTTCAAACACTAGTTGCAGACTTGAAATCAGCTTTATCATCAGTGTTGTCTCATAAAGAAATCATTCAGATTTTCTTTTTTTTTCTTTTTTTATTGTGAAAATACTGTACAGAGGGGTTACAATTACATGGGTAAGATAATGAGTACATTTCTTATCAAGCATTGTAGCCTCCTCCTCTGTTTCTCCTTCCCATCCTCCCCCCCTTCTCCTCCCTAATCCTCCCCCCCCCCCCACCAAGGTTGTAAAGTTCATTTTGGATATAACGATTTGTGCATCTCATTGTTGCAATGGGTCCACCTGTATTCCTATTTAAACGATTTGTTTTTCCTCTTCCCCTCCACAAGTTATAACAATATCAAATACAGTGAAAGCAGGGGTTATACTGTGGGGGAGGGACATACAAAGCAACAAAGAAATCATCTTATAAATATGTTAGAAACAATCGCATGAAAGAAAAAAACATTTGAATATTTATCTTAGGGTTCATTTCCCTAACATCAACTTACCTGACCTTTTCCTGCTTGACTCAGACATATACTAGTTATTGCAAATAAGGGAAACCATGGGACCTATGTTTCTTTGGGCCTGGCTTACTTCACTTAATATAATTTTTTCCGATTTTCTAGAACGTGATTACTAACTTATTTTTTTAAAGCCTAATACACATGAAATTCAAAATAAAATAAAGAAATTCTTGCCAAGAACCAAACTGTCCCCAGACTTCTGGAGACAAAGGAACAAGCGGGGAGGACAGCCCTCTGGGCTGGGCTAGGGGGCATGTCACATGCTGTACATGCACCATCGCCTTTCGCCACAGAATACGTAGGGCGTGATAGGTTAAGAGAAGTACTGGAATATGAGCTAGAGCACATTGCCTCGAACTTTTGATCTTCAGATGAGCTTGTTATTATAACCAATATTATAGGTTAAATGATCATTCTAAGATAAAAGTGAGTACTCAAAATAAGTAGCTGGATATGGGAGAGTTCTGCAAACTATAACATCCACTATGTGAATGAAGAGTTTTGGTCTGCATTTATTATATACATCAAATTTAAAATCCTTACCTAAAGAGCCATTCATGTGATGTGACTCCATTCCTCCTAAGCCACCCATGGGGCCATCTGACCCAGGACCCATTGGAAACTATTTTTAAAATGAAGAAAACAACTGTGATCACATTGCAAACAACTCTAGCTTGGTTTTATACCTATCTTAAACATTTCAAAATCCTGTACAGCTTATTTTCATTTCCAAGTTTAGAGAGTTTTTTTGACTTTTTTTTCAGCTTCGCAAATGGTGTAATTTGACTGTTCCACTGTTTATCATATCCTCTCTGTGTTGAGGATGTTCAGGCTAATCTTCATTCTTTCCCCAGATATTCCCAACTAGAAAGTACATACATTCCCACACATGCTTTCCTATGATGCTGACAAATCGTCTATTATAAAACAAAGTAGTTTTTAAGAAGCTGTTAAAGGTAATAGCTTACTAAAAAGAATGATTTAACATAATTATGCCAATACTAATATCTTTCTTAGCAGACAATCTATCTCTGCTCAAATGGACTTAATAAATAATTTCATCTTACAGGTTAAATACGTTTTGCTCCTTAGAGATAGCTGAAAATAGCTAATTCTTCGTGGCAGTACCAACTATGTCAGATCAATGACAGGCATTCTACGGTAGTTCTTCTTAATATTTTTTTAAGACATGAGAATTCTTTCTTTTCAAGTAAATCCTATATCAGAAACCTGGAACAAAACAGTTGTAAACAGATGTGCTTTGATAGAATTGGTGATGAAAAGTCCATGATCTTTCTGTTTTGTCCTTTCCTTATTTCCAGAGAATATTTTTGAGGAAAACAGGCTTCATTTGAAAAACGAAAGGCTTTAAGGGATCTGAATAAACTGAAATTTAGATCAAAGATTAAATGATAAAATAAAAGTTTGAGGGTTAAAAAAATCACCATCAAACAAGCCTACCCTTTATCCTATCACCTCTGGGGAAATGAGTGGCCTTACACTATGGTGGGAAAAGAGACCATGGACTGATTTGTAGTACATAACTTAAAATATATGTTCCTCATTGACTCTGAACCTATCACTTAGCTATTAAAAACATGGTTTTCACATGAGCTGAGAAACTGGGCTAGTAAGCCAGTAATGTAATAATTTCTTTGGTTCTGCCCCCCCCACTGTTTTAGGGTTTTAAATAACACTAAGATTATAATGTTCAGAGTGTTTAACATATAGAAAATACGTCATCTGATTATTTTTCAACTTCAGCTACCCTATATACATATGTGTTTATGTAGCATAAACACATTTATATAGTTGTATCAATATTTAGATTATAAATATTTTACAGTTATATTTAATTCTTTTTACAACTATATTCTGTTGTAAATATTTTTGGCCAATGTAAGCTTTATATCATGGGAAAATTATGAAATTATGCAGGAGAATCACAGTCATACTTTATTAAGAAGCCCAATTCACCCTATGCAGCTATCATGGCTCCATTTAAACACTATGTTTTGTAATTTAAACGAAAACAAGTGTATCTAACTTCATAATTTACTTTCATGTATATCAGTTATCAGGACTAAAATCATCAAAATGAAAAAAAAATAAGTTATGCTAAGAATGAACTCAAGATAAATGATTACACAAGCCTGAAATTTTCAAATAATATTAATCATTAAGTATTTGAGATAACAGACTAACATTTTATAATCAAATTCAATTGTATATTTATATTATATTGCTATAAAATGTTATACATATTATATTCCATGTTCTTTTCAACTGGAGGACAGACTTTTTTGTTTTTATATCCAGTATGTTTCTGGGAAATGAAGTGTAGGCAATATTCAGAATATGGAATATACTTAGAATTACAAAGTCTTCAAGTACACTAAAAAAAAAATCTTATTTACATTAGGTCTGTTCGGTCCAGGAGGTACTGCATTCATTAAAGTATACATGTTGTCTCCAGAGTTGGTTGAATCTGAAACAAAAGGTAACCCTTAAATTAGTAAGCAATCACAAAGTCATAATCAAAGATAAACTGGATATACACAGATATTGATAGCTCTAATATTACTATTTAAAAATATTACTACTTAAAAATATATACTTGTGTTATTTTCTGACCAAAATACCACAATGCAGTCATCATTAGACATATGAGAAAAGATCTGATCACTCCAATAATTCAAGATGAAGAACATTAAAAATCTAAACATTGTATCAAAGTTGTTTCATTCTTTTTTAAATAGGGATATTTTTACTTCTTCAAACAATGGTATGTATATAAATAACAAAAATCTCTTAAAATTTAGATTCAGAAGCTTTTCCCTTTTCAATATTTCCTTAAGAAAATTTAAAATCTACTTTTTCTAAGCTAGTAATTGGTTAAAATTGATAAAATTTATCGTGGGAATTGAATAGGACTATAAAATTGTTATAAAAATTATCGTGCTTAATGTAAAAGCCAGATGTTTCTACCTATGTATATTATCAAAGGTTGATAATGCTGAAGAGTATAAAATTATCACCCATGATAATTAGCAAGATGTTTTAATAAATATTTTTCACTCATTTTATTCTTGATGTATTACAATAAAAATAAATGTGATATTTCACAGTATTTCAGAATACATGTCATATCTATTTGCTACTTCTAATTAAGTTTTATGATGTTTATGAAGTAAAACAAAGTAAAATGCTAATTATCTTAAAAATTGAGGAAATATTGATCATAAAACACAGTTTTCTATTTTCTTATGATTATAGTTTCTTAAATATAATATAGCACACCATTCTGTTTTGAAGACAGAGCTATCTGAAAGTATGTGTTTTGTACCGACTGATTCAAGATAGAAGGTAAAAAATAATTTGCTTTCTTATGGTGGAAAATGGACAATTAGTTCTATTTTAATCGTGTGGTTATTTATTAAACATTAACAAGTTTATCCTTTTAGTGTGTATTACTTAGAGAATAGGTTTAATATCATTTATTGGTTGTTTGCCAACGGTGATCTATAAATCTCAGTATTACTTCTTACTTTGAAATGAATATATCATAGTATTAAAATGCTCCATCAGGCTGTTCCCTACTTCTTTATACATAATTCTGTGGCCTCAATACTTTTCACATCCTTATGCATAGCATATTTCTGTTAGACAGGCTTCTTGCTGTCTATAACTAACTTTCCTCATCTCCATTCTTTTAAAACTTCTTCCTTCAAGCATTAACTCCCCAGTTCCCACCTGCTGAAAATCTACTCAATATTCAAGAGTCATTACAAATATTTCCTTGAAATTTCCATATTCATGAATACTCCCCAACTCATGGATTTTACCTGGCACTACAATTAATATTTTGTCTTATTCTTCTCTTTGACTTATTGACTATGGTATAATAAGCTAATTGAGAGAAGAAAAGGAACTATGTCATATTTATCTTGTGTATCTCAAGTGATAAATAACTGCCTAGATTTAGCTAATGGAATAAATCCTATTATACACAAAATATTTTTCAGAAAATGTTGGATTGCTTTTTAAACATGTTCAACCTTCAAATGGTTTTTCAACTGTATTAGCCTTATTTTTGCTGAGAATAAACTAGGCTGTTTATTTTAAGTGTGTGTGCAAAGGAGATAAAATTATCAGTTTTAAGACTCAGCAAGAATATGTTACCAGAAAAACAATAAAAGGAATAAGGGAAACAAAGGAATTTTCTAGGAAATATGTGCCTTCTTTCGGTTTATATAAAACTTTGCCATAATGTGGATCTTCGGTGTGGATTCCTGAGGGTAGGGATATTGGCTTATGATTAGAGGTATGATAGTGGTGAAGGGTGGGTGTGAATGAAAGGTGACTAGGTAAAAATGCGAGCAGTATATACTGGTGGCAACTTTTGTGTTACAAGGAAAAGGTGATAAGATGACTTCTCACTGCAATGATTAAGGTTGCTACAAAAAAAGTTTGGTTTTATAATGAAGGGTTTACTAATAGCATGTTACATGCATACATTAAGCATTAATATAATATTAAAAAAGAATACAATGTTTGGAAGATGATTCCATTCATATGCTTCTAATTTCAATGAATGCTATTTCATTCCCAATGAAGATACTTTAAAGACATAGACGACATTATGTGTATTTGCAGAGTAAAGCAAAATTTTATATCATTTATCAAATGTGTTTTAAGTGATTGGAAATTGTTTATATTGGTATGATTCTTAATAATGAATTTTAAGCTCTCACATATTTCTAGTCTCCGACAAACCAGTTAAGAACATTTAAGTTTAACAGTGAAACATAATTAAAAGTTATTTCTAATTATAAAAATTTCCTATTTATTTCATTGTCCAGAAGTAATCACTGATCAATTCTTCTACTTTAAAATTTTTCTATTATATATGTGTTTATGTCTATTAAAATAAAACCACAATCATATTTTATTAAAACTGGAGCATTAATTGTTTTCATTTCACTAAAAATTCTTTGATAATAACTTCAATGACATTTCAATTATATTTTGTGCTATAAAATTAATAATTTCACTAAAATTGGATTAGGAATAAAGGCTATGTCAATTGTTTCACTACTGAGTACAACAAATGAACATACCTGAACATAAATTCTGGGTTGCATTTCTAATTCTTTTTAGTACTAGGATCATAGAGTCAAATATTTGAACCTTTTTATGGTTTTTGATGTTACCAGAGCATTTCCTGGGAAAATTTAAGCTTCAATTTAAGCTTTAAGAATAATTTAAACCCCAATCATTACAGTGTCCAAATGTACTTGACAGTCTGAATGAAAATCTTCAGAAGAAAAGATAAAGATAGTTGAAATAATTATGTAAAATGGTCATGGATAAACTAAAGTATATTTAAGTTTAGAAGATTAAACAATCTTTTCTCAATTTGTTACCTAATTTTTTTTTTTTTGTTTAGTCAGTCGTGGGGCTTGAACTCTGGGCCTGGGTGCTGTCCCTCAGCTCCTCAGCTAAAGGCTAGCACTCTACCACTTGAGCCACAGCACCACTTCCCCTAACCATTTCTATAGACATGTAGGATAAATAAACTGTAAGCATATCTATAGTCATTTTAGTAAGATGATAACACAGGTCTGGCTTGCTATTTTGAACCTCAACAGATCAATGGTTTTACAAGTTGATTCATACATGCAGAATTGTTCATTTTTTATTAACAGGAATCAACTATACAAAAAAGTTTCACCATAATATTTAATGTATATAGTAACTTTTTCTAAGTTGTGAGATACTAGCATGTTTCAGTTTTGTTAAATCTTTAAGTTACATAAATTATTGAGCAATTTACATAGGTCCAAAGACATGCTGACTAAACCTGTTATCCACACAAAAGGAACTTTCTAAATGCTTAATTGGACCACAGTAAAGAGCTTATTTCTTCCTATTTGCTACTTCTGTAACCATCATGAGATGATGAATACTGCTAACTTTATTTCATAAACCACTTCTGTATTTGTGACTTTGATAATCAAATGACCATGGGACGAGCTTGATGACAGTACCTGCTGGACTAGGCATGATAGGTGTTCCTGGTGGCCCTCCACCTCCTGGAGGACCCTAAACAATCACACAGCATTTCAGTCAAAACAAAGCAGTTCATTAAACAATGTCAAGAAAAACAGAAAAATGTTAGACTCGTTTCTATAATCTAATTTGAAAGTAATAGGAAACATTTTCTCCATCATTTATTTTGAACAGTATGCAAAACATAATTTAGCTTAACCATGTGGAAATTGTTTTGACAAGTTTCTACAAACAATGAGATTGTAAGACTGATTTATTATTCATGACTTAATCATACCAGGTATAATGAGGTTAAGGAGAAACCACTTAATAGGGCTTTTATAAATCCATAAAATAGAAGTAATTTGTGTGTGCTTGTGTTTACCCTAATTTTCTTTTTTGTGCCACTGGATTATTTTGTTTGTTTTTGTTGGTCCCAGGGCTTGTACTTAGTGCCAGTGCTGTATCTGAGCTTATCTGTTCAAGGCTGATACTCTACCACTAGAGCCAAAGATCCACTTCCAGCCTTTTGGTGATTAATTGGACATAAGAGTTTCATGAACTTTCCTGCCCAGGCTGGCTTCAAACCATGATCTTCAGGTCTCAGCCTGAGTAGCTAGGATTTATAGGCCATCAAGCCACCAGCACCCAGCTCCTATTTGCTGGTATTTATAAGAAGCTAATATATATTCATTTAGAGCAATTAGAGATTCACATTTAAAAAATACATCAAGGCTGTTTCTTTCTTCTGTTAGGCCCAATTGCAGCACTTCTGATACATGATATTTGTAACTATCATATCAATTAGAAATGAGAGGCAATGTTGACTAATGCGGTGAGTTAATAATGCTATAGCTATATAATCAAGCTGCAATAGAAATGGGCAATTCTGAAGTTAATTTAGAAAAGCAAAATGAATAATATAGGCAATGAGTTCAGAATTTTTCAGATATTCTATGTACAATGATCAAATTAACTTAAGCCACTTAAGAGTGGCTAAATTTTTAATTCATTCCAAGTGAGTAGAGACTATCAATTATTTAAAATTATATACATGCAACTTAATAAACTTAAATTACATTGTAAATTCTATAGCTTCATAAAACTAGATATCCACTTATTAAGTAACCTAAAAATAATGTTTACCCAAATTTTCCTACATTTCCTACATTCATACAAAATGTGAAGAAAATTAAACTTCTGTAGTTTGTATAGCTTATAGGAAATTGAATGCCATGTTCATAGATCAAAAGGACAATGTGCTTTACTGTGTTAAAAAATAGTATTTCCATTGGGTGGAGTTCAAATGGTCATCTATTTTCTTTCAAAACAATTGTTTATTTTTCTTCTTTTTTTATATTTTGTGCCAGTCCTGGGCTTGAACTCAGGCCTGCGCTCTGTCCTTGAGCTTTTTTGCTCAAGGTTAGCACTCTACCATTTGAGCCATGCCAACTGGCTTTTTGGGTAGTTAAATGGAGATAAAAGTCTCACAGACTTTTCTATCTGGGCTGGCTTTAAACCATAATACTCAGATCTCAACCTTCTGTGTAGTTAGGATTACAGGCATGAGCTACCAGTAGCCAAATCATGCAACTCTTAACACCACTTAAAGTTAGCCACAATCTCTGAAAATTTCTTTGGGAAAGATTTCCCTTTTCACCATTTTATTCTTGCTTCTCTGTTATCTATTTCCTTTTAAATATTACAACATTTAAATATTCTTAAGGTATTCTTGAGATATAACAAATATCATAATTGGATAACTGTTAAAAGATCATTTGTGAGTTCAAGAGTTCATATACAATTTGCTAATTTGGCTTCAGGTCTATGTGAGTTACTAGGGAAATCTGGCATGTATAAAAGAAAAAGAAGAAAATAGGTATTCTCAATTTCTAAGAATGATAAAAAAAATTAAAGATCGTTCCAAATCACTAGTCATCATTCTTCTGTTTGATCCACTTTGAGACTGGGAGAAAGTTTAATGACTCCATAAAATTTATGTGCGATGAATGAGGTCAGAGAGGGGGTGTACATCATTCTCTTGGAGAAGTGCAAATTCAAGCATATTACTGTGTAACTGGGGAAGGCTTTCTTCGTGATTGGATAGAGTACTGTTGTGGCTTCCAGAAACATACGCTGAAGTAAAACACAGTACTCAGGGCAATTCTGGCCAGATTGATAACTGTTTCACTAATGAACATCAACATATGCACTGAGGTTGGCAGATGAAGCAACTCAAGATGTTCACTTCTTGGCCAATACACAGGGGCTTGTCTTAACATCTGGACAACTATTTAGTTGCTCAAATAAAATGTAACATCAATTCTTATGAGCAAACAAACCCAAATGTACTTACTACATAATTCCCAGGAGATGCTGAAGAGTATGGTATCTGGAACATGAATAGGACAAAAACAAACATTTTGATTCATGTGGCAGCATGAGACTACCTAAATGAATCTACTTCCTGTTTTTATCAAAGTATAGTAATACAGAAAGGAGTTTATATTTATTTAATTGCTAAAAAATATACACTAAGTAACCACTATAGCCTCTAGAGTTTACAAGAAGGAAAAAAACCCATAGATTTTTAGCTAAGATGGATTTAGATAGAATTACAGTTGTACATATAACAAGATAGTATGAGAAAGATATGTATCTATATAGATAAAAACTCTGGGAAATTAGAAAACGTCAAATTAGTAGCCTAAAGTTATATCATTTTTTAAAAGAAAAGTTTAGAAAAATTCAGAAAACTGAAAAATTTCAATTTAGTAGCCTTTATAGGCATAGCTTCTAAGAACTGTGCAGTTACAAAATCCAGTTTACGGGGCTGGGAAGGTGGCTCAGTGGTAGAGCGCTTGCCTTGCACGCATGAGGCCCTGGGTTCGATTCCTCAGCACCACATAAGCAAAAAGAAAAAAGCTGAAAGTGGCGCTGTGGCGCAAGTGGTAGAGCGCTAGTCTTGAGCTGAAGAGCTGAGAGACAGTGCCCAGGCCCAGAGTTCAGGCCCCACGACGAGATCCAAAAAAAAAAAAAAAAAACCCAAAAAAAACAAAAAAACAAAAAACAGTTTACTGCATTTATACAGTTTAGGTCAATACTTGATATATAGGCCTCTCCTCTTTCAGTATCTAATTATGGAAATTATTATAATAAGCAGGTTCCTAAACTCTTTTCTAGATACTAGAAGATATTAATACCATGTTGTTATTATAATTTAAGAAATGTAAAATTAAAAAAACTTATTTAAAAATTAGTCATTGAGTGTAGATATTAACATACAGAGTTAAATGAATATATTTTCTTTTTTCATACAAGCTCAATTGTATGAAGACACTGTACATACTAGAGACATTTTTTGCCTTATTATGGAAGAAAAACCAATAAATTACTGTTTACCTGGAGTCAGATAGCTATAGCCAGAACATAGGATCTTTAGCATAGTAAAAATATTATGATGCCTATACACTAAACTGTCCCTCTACCCAAATAATGCCACGTAATTAAACAAAACAGTACAAGGGAATACTATAGCAAGAAAAGGAAGCACAACACAGTTATGATTTTACCTTCAATAATTGCTTGATGCTTTTCTAGAATTGCTTATTATTAATTTATTTGAACAGTCCTTTTTTCCTTCTCATTGTCTAGTGTCCTTTCTTGCCTTAAACATAGAATGTAAGTTCTTGTGGCCTCTACTTGGCCTGTCTGTGGGTGTAACACTGGAGAGGACGACTGCTAGCTTGTCCTGAGTCACTGGTGATGAGAACTACTTCCCCAAGGAGTCCTGAGCTCCTTTATGACATTTAACATTTACTTAATTTGGTGAAGAATATTACTCATTTTCTTGAGCTTCTATTCTAGTTTATAACCTACGCTTCACCCTCTTCCTCACATCATTTCAAATATGCACATCTTCCAAATCACCAAAAATTCTTTTGGCTCCTAGGACCAATCTCATCTGCATATATATATATATATATATATATATATATATATATACATATATATATATACACATATATATGTATATCTACTATATATACATACATATTACACTAAGCCCATGCCTTTTTGCTTACAAAGATTCTTAAGCAACTTGAAGATACAATCTAATCATCCTTAGATCTTTGATATTCATAGTTCAATGTCTTTCTTTAAATACTTCCTTCTTTATCATTCCTGAGTATTAAAAATCCCTTTTACAGAGAACAAGTCCCTTGGTATGATGTCTCTCTTATTCCTCATGATGCTCACAAGGATTATTCACCAGAATCTTTTCCCACCATAATCCCTTCCTGTTTGCTTTAACAATTACTTCTCTATAATGTATTCATAAATTGTCTTTTCCCTTCTTCCATGCCATTGTCAGCATTTTTTATTTTTTATTTTATTTTATTTTTTTTGGGTCCGGTCGTGGGGCCTGAACTCTGGGCCTGGGCGCTGTCCCTCAGCTCTACAGCTCAAGACTAGCGCTCTACCACTTGAGCCACAGCGCCACTTCCAGCTTTTTTCTTTTTGCTTATGTGGTGCTGAGGAATCGAACTCAGGGCCTCATGCATGCAAGGCAAGCGCTCTACCACTGAGCCACCTTCCCAGCCCCATGTCAGCATTTTTTAATGTAATATCTTAAATTTGTTATCCTAAAGCCTACTTTGTTAATTCCCATCTCCTGGATAACTCCTTAGTCAATTTTATTTTGTTTAGCAAAAATTTCCTGGTGGGAAACACAAAAAAGGTTGACAAGGTTCAAATACAATAAATCATATTCTCTAACATCGACCTACCTTATATCTAGAAGAATTCTGGCTCAGTCTTTATGGAAGCCCAAACACATACTAGTAATGTGCCATAAACCCAGTTTACTTCAGAGGAAAGAAAAATCCTTGATTTGTAACATACACTAATTTCTGTGTTATAAATATTTCCATATGCCAGATTTTAAGTTTCCGATGGTTCAACAACTAGATGATGAGATTCTTCAATACTCAATCTAACTTTTATGAACTGATTGATATAGTAATTGTATCATTGTGAATAGTATTTCACCATCCTGTCAAGTTCCTGCTTGGCTTTCATTTGAATTTCAACATTGCATTTTGTTTACAGATTTTTAAATCTATGTGTTTATCTCAGGTAGAAAACAATAAACTTTCTGCTTATTTCCATAACTAGTTCATTACAACTATCCCATTTACCCAAGCTGTTGCTTCTTTCATATTTTTATTTTTTTCTTCTGCATGGCACCTTCCAATGGAATTAAATAGAATTATAATTTTAAAATATTTAAAAATTGTTATTATCTCACCTATTTGTTCAAGTACTTTCCATTTTCTCCCTGCCAAACTCTTCATTTGTGACTTCCATACACAGTTTCTACTTTATAACCTTCAGTGTCCTGATTCAAAGCCCTAGCACTTTATAGAACTTTCCTTCCTAGAATTATCATCACGATCTGACTGCTTAGTGTGAAAGGCACAAAAAATAATAATGTAGACAGAAATATTATATGGGTACAGAAGATGTATTTGAACTAGCCATTTGGAATTTAAAGAGAGTAAGTACCCACCTGAATGGTGGTATGGGTTGGTATAAGGAACTAAGGAAAGAAATAAAGGAGGGAATGGGGAGGAGGGAGAGAGGGAGGAAGGGAGGGAGGGAGGAAGGGAGGAAGGAAGGAAGGAAGGAAGGAAGGAAGGAAGGAAGGAAGGAAGGAAGGAAGGAAGGAAGGAAGGAAGGAAGGAAGGAAATGTGAATAGGTATGTATATTTGGGAAATGGAATATATAATTTCATAGTGGCTTGAGACTGAGAAGGGTTTCTAGGAGTTTCCTAACAGTCACCTCCTCCAAAATCTACCAGAGTGGAGGACAAAGGGTACTGTGATTTTGCTCACAGAACAGAAAGTTTGAGCCATTAAAAGGAGGCGACAATGTTTGATAAGAAATGTACTCATTATCTTGCCCATGTAATTGTAACCCCTCTATACAGTATTTTCACAATTAAAAAAATTTAAAAAGTAACTGACTAAAGAAGAGTAAAATAAATTGCTGCTGGTGAAAGACTATGGAGGTTCAACTTCATAAATTTAAATGGTAACCTAAGTGCATGGAAATATACATTAAATGCCTTCTTTTCTGTTAAATGAAGGTATTGTACAAATACTTGGAAATTAACACTTAAAATAAATCACTCCCACCCCACCTCAAGCAAAAACAAAAACCTCACTCTCTGTCTCTCTTGTACACCTGCTTTTCTACCAGCTCAGTCAATGTCATCTTCCCAAATACTTGGATTCAAATCTTTGAAATCACCATCACTGTCCCCCTCTTTATCCCTGAATACTCCCTCTAACTCAACTTCATCTTTCATACAAAATGCCCATTAAAATTAAATGCAAGATAAAAATGAAGATAGAGAAGAGCTAGAAAGTCAGAATCCTAGAACTATAAGAATCTATTATTTGAAAGCTGAGAAAATTAAAGACAACATATAATGTGTGACTAAGCTAGACCGACTCTGAAATTCAAGAACTGAAATTCAAATATTCTGAATAACCCTGAGCCCTAATACTCATGATTGTGGTGCTATGGTAGGGGCCAGAAAAATAAATAAGTTTGTTTTTTAAATGATCAGTAACATCTTAGCTAGTATCAGTACTAAAGTCTGAAACTATTTTGTAGGTAGTGACATTTAGAAATTCAGGGAACAAGTTAAATCATACATTATCTATGCCAATAGAAAACTGAAAATATTATTTTTAGAGTTCTTTTCAAAAGTAAGCATGTATTTGTATACAACAGAACCTCCTGAAGCAATACATATGTCTTTCCTCTAAGCTTAATCACAATAATAGATGCTCATTTTTTTTTCTTAAAGAATTTTCTTCTAGGGGAGGGAAGTGATAGTAGGGGAAAAACAAAGGAAGAGGCAACAATGCTCGATAGGAACTGTACTCATTACCTTACTCATGTAACTGTAACCCCTCTGTACAGTATTTTTATAATAAAAATATATATTAAAAAAGAATTTTCTTCTTCATATTCTTGCCAAGTTAGTGAGCTGATTATTATAATACCACATTGAATAGTTGCTGTTTTGCCTATTTCCTCTTTACTAACAATTCCTTTAACTTTCTTCAGTGCACTGCATTTCTTATTTTTACTATACATAATTTGGATGGGGTTCAGGAATAGGTGTATACCCTACATCAGCATATAAAGTATTTATTCCCCATCCACCATAGTTTCATAAATGAGTATATGACCCCATTTGAGCTAATATTGTTCAGTTAAGAGTTATATTCAATTCCGTTGCTTAACTGCTAAGGAGTAGTATTCTTTCAAGCTCAAATGGGAACTAGGAGCATATTAATCTGGAGCTTCTGTGAGGAAACAAAAAAATAACCATCTGCAAACACAAACACACATAGACCATGTCAATTGTGGGCCTTGAATTTAGGGCCTGTGTGCTGTCCTTGAACCTCTCTATGCTCAAGGCTAGGGCTCTACCCCTTGAGCCACAGCACCACTTCAGGTTTTTTGAGTGGTTAATTGGAGATAAGAGTCTCACAAGGACTTTTCTGCCTGGGCTGGCTTTGAACCATGATCCTCAGATGTCAGCCTCCTGAGCAGCTAGGATTACAGGCATGAGCAACTTGTGCCTGACTTAATTCTGGATTTTTAGAAGAGAGATTGTCAGAGACTGAGAAGGGGTGAAGGAAGAAGTGAAAGAGGTGGGAGACAAGGTAGAAGAAGAGTATGGGCATGATTAATACCTGATGTATGCAAGTACAGAAGTGTCACAGTGAGTTCCATTATACAGTTAATTTAATAAAAATAAATATACTGGGCTTTTCAGATCTAGGACCTAGTAACATTCTCCACTAGTATGAAGCTAGTTTGGTTGGTTTTCTGCACTTTATAATACAAAGTGTCTTATTTTTAGTAAACAGTCTTGAAAACTCACAATTAGCACATGCTGTATAAACATAACCAGTATGGGACAAATCACCACTGTGTGCCTCCTGAGTTGATGCACCAAAAAAACCCCACCAAACTATTTCTCTGGTATACTGCCAAATATTTATAACCCAAATCTAATAATAAGGAAATATCAGCTAAGAGCAAATTATGGGGTGGTCTAAATAATGCAGTGTGTTTAATATGCACGATTATAAAAGACAAGAGCTGGGATCTGTCCTAGATTAAAAGACATAAAAAATTATGACAAGTGAATGCAATCAGAGAATTGGAATTTTCTTTTGGTAAAAAGATATTATTGAGAAAACCAGTAAAATCTAAAGAAGATGTGAAGATTAGAAAGTAGCAGTGTATCAATGTTAATTCTCTTAGCTTGGTGATAATTTTGGATTGTGAAAGATCATAACTTTGCTTTTTAGAAAAGATATACTGAAATATTTACAGATAAGAAACAAAATAGATCACAACAAAAGGATGCTTGAAACAGAGAGAAAATAATAAAGCAATGTGGTAACACATTCATACTAGAGAATCTGGTATGAATTTCTTGAAATATTCTTCAAGTTTTCTGTAAATTCTAGGTTACTACAAAATAATGAAAAAAGTATGTGAAGCATATGTGAAAAGAGTAAAAAACAAATTCCTTACTTTAATATGCTGATATATGAGTCAAAGACTTACTGTATTAATATAAACTGAAAAATGTTTGTAATATTAAGTATTCACAGGAAGTCTAAAGAACTTGGAATTCAAAATAATATAGATGGATTATTACTATAAAAAAATCAGCAGTGTTTAGGGAAGAAAAGTCCCTCAGTACTTTTTGCTTCTGTTTTATAGATGCCCTGTGTTTCTATTAGAAAGTCATCATTTTTCTGTAATTTCTTTCTTGTTCTCAAAATAAATCATTTTCAGAGGAACGTTTTTCTTTTGCGTGCTCATGATGATGATGAAGTTCTACTTCTGAAGCAAGAAAATCTCTTGCCACTTTCCACTTCTTTTCCTGATTCACATACTGGGGATGAGGGTAGATATTTTCACTTGCCTACATTTATGCTGGTCATGGGCTCATTTCAGTTTTTATCAATGGGGCCCATGTCAATATGCACAACTCCTACTGTAGTTCTTAGTGTTTCACAAGGTCTAAAATAATGGAGAGCTCCTGATTTATATAATCCATTTTTCTACCCATAATGCTTAGTTCTATGAAGTCCTGAGGAGAGGAAGCTCTCTAATAGCATCAGAATACAATTGCCTCTGTTCAGTATCCTTCCATTTGGAAAACATACTCCAATATTTTAGCTATAATGAACATCTTCCAAGTCATCTTTCCAAATGATGCCCACCTTCTTGTTTTTGGGGAGGCATAATCTTAGGATGAGTATATAAAGAAGGGTAGTGTGAATTGTCCTCTGATTTTCTGTATGGGCAGTAGTGGGATGATTAGCAAAGGTGGGATATCAGCTGGTTTTTAATCAAATTTCATTGAACATGTAGATAATAAAATTTCTTTCCAGACATTGGTAGTGGGAAGACTATCCAGTTTTCAGTGTTACAAAATTATTTTTGGCGTCCTTAATAACATTTTCATTGGAAAGTTGAAAAGGCTGCAAGCCAGATGCCATTTTAAAGTAAAATCTTGAATAACTTGGTTAAGGCAGATAACATGAAACAAACACAAATCAAAACTTGTTTTAGGCATATAAAAAAGCCAAAAGAAGTTGAGAAGTTCTATTCATTTGCATTATGACATACTATAACAAGAGTATTTTAGAAAAAATGGTTAGTCTACTGAAGAACCAATTGAGAGCAAAATTTTTTTTTAACTTTCAATAACTGCATTTAATTAGTGTACAGTATAGCTATTAAAACTAAGAAGAAATATGTTTACCTTGATTGAAGTAATTTCTTCCCTGAATAGTAGTGGATTTAGTATGTTTACTCTTATTTCCTATACTACACGCACATCTCATTTTTAACTTTCTTGAAGTTTAATGTAACCTTAAACTTTTGATCAGTCTCATGTTCATTTAGTGAACATTTGTATACCTTTATGCACATTAGCAAATAACATACCTTTTGGTTAGAGACACAGGCTATATTTTACTGCCATACTGACTCACTTGATTTGGATACATGTGTGCAAAGTACACACCACACAAATGTTTGTAGGTTTTCTCATTACTGAAGATTTCAAGATTTCAAAGTCAAGAAGAAAAAACTATCTCCAGGATCATAAAATTAAAATCATATTAATTAAAAAATGAAATGCTCAATTTGCAAGCTGTGCATATATTTATGTGACGGTATTAAGAAGAATGTGTTTGTAAAGTTAAACCTCTGCCAAAAAACAGAACAACAACAACAAAAAAAACCTAGGAAATTTCTTAGGATTTTAGGAAAAGACATGTGTAACGAGGGCAATTCAACTAACAGGCATAGGAAAATGTAGACTTGCTTTCCGACAGGGCAAACCTAGGTGTAATACATGTAGCAAATCCAATCAGAGTAACTTGGTTTGATCATTCTCTAATTGAGGGTTATCACAGATAATCATATATTATAGATATTATAGAAAGTTAGGCTATGTTATGACAAATATGTAATATACTTAAAGCCCAATATTTCTTTTTGATATCTATTAAAAACATAGGATGCATGTTTATATTAACTCCTGAGGTAAAAAATTATATTATTTCAAAACTTATGCATATTTTTCTAAATGAATATATATAAAACATATTTCTTACTTTTAAAAAGATTAATACAATGGGTAAGGCTTTCAAAAGCAGTTACTTTTGTTACCTTAGTTAAATGTTACAAAACACAAAATATATTATGTTATATACTCACTGAATTGGCATTTGTTGGGTTTGGCCAGGGTCTACCGCCACCTGGACCCCTGTAAAACAATATAAATGACATTTTAATCTATGCCTTAAATGTTTCATAATAAGTTAATACTGATAATTCAGCTATTATTGACAATTCTAATTCAGCAATGGAATTACTATCTTAATAGTTTTTAATCTTTTTTTAAATTTTATTTTATTGTAAAGCTGCTGTACAGAGGGGTTACAGTTACCTGAGTAAGGCAATGAGTACATTACTGTGGATCAATGTTGTCCCTTCCCTTGTTGTCCCACTATCCCTTCCTTCCCCCACCTCTTACACTCCTCCCCACCCCACCCCCAAAGTTGTCAAGTTCATTTCCAATTACTATCTTAATAGTTTTGATTCTTAAATGAAAAAAATTATATGTGATACTTTTATTCCCACATCAAACTACTTTTAGACAAATTTTAAGTTTTAACTATGTTTATTTTTAAAACAAAACACTGTAATCACTTATAACTATATGTATCTATGTGTGTATGTCTGTATCCTGAATCACTAAGCTACTTTTGGAGTCCAAAGCACTAACTATGAAACTAAAAAGGAACTGTAATTTATGTCACAATATGAATCCCTTGAACCTCATTCAAAATGAAATTATTTGTAAAGTATCAATATATATAAAATATAGCTCATATTAAGCTACAAACACAAATACACAAAAAAGTGCTTAAGGATATCTTCTTTTCAAAAACTTATAGTGTCATGTATATTACTTCATATATAGCTATACACCAAATTATCTTTCAGTGCAACTAATGATTTATCTACTATTAAGTGAGGAAATAAATCATTTTCTTATTTTCATAAATTTAGTTCAAGGCAATTCCTGGAAAATAAGGGTAATCTTTGCAAATATATGTCATATTACATAATTTTAGAGTAGAAGAGAATTTTTGCATTCAACATCTTATGAGAACATAAACCTTTTTAAACAAAATTAATGTCTACTTGAATGAAAAGGTCTCCACCACATTTTAGTACTTGATAAATACTTAATGAAGACTATTGCCAACTCCACTGTAACTGGGATTATTCAAAATGATTCTTTTCCTTCTAACTATTATGATAATAAAATAATGATTGCTGTGTGTGTTTGTGTGTGTGTGTGTGTGTGTGTGCTGGTACAGGGGCTTGAACTCAGGGCTTGTGAGCTGTCTCAGCTTTTTTGCTCAAGCTAGCATTCTACACTAGAGGTAAAGCACCACTACTGGCTTTTTGGTGGTTAACTGGAGATAAGAATCTTATTCCTATATTCAAATTGAGATCTTCAGATCTCAATTCCAGAATATCTAATTATAGTCTTAAGCCCCTAGCAAATGGCTAAGACAAGTTAAAAGTTTTTAATTGAAAACATTTTAAAAATTTTATTTCTTATAATGATGCTGTACAGGAGGTTACAGTTACATCAGTAAGTTAATGTGTGGGTTTCTTGTTGGCATTGTTACCCCCTCCTTTGTTTTCTCTCTTACCTCCTACCTCCCCGCTCCCCTTCCCCAAAGTTGTAAGGTTCATTTCTTAATTCTAGGGACATTAAATCGAATGTACTAATGTTAAAGAGACTAAGTTAGTATATTACTCATGATCTCTTAGAATATTTAAAACTGCTTTTAGTTTTATTTTGAGATTCCCTAGGGATGTGAGCAGTAGAAAAGGAAATGGATTTTTCCCATAGGAAATGCACACTATTAGGAATGCCCACATAACAATTATTTTTCCCAGTGTGACTTGATGAATAAAAGGGAAAATTAAAATTGGTCAAAATCTTATGCGTAGGGAGAAGTTAAAGGACATTTAAATTGTTGCCACTCTAAGAGGATGATGATAATAATGATTCGCAATTAATTACTGACACACTTTAATTTACCTAGAGGATTCAATGTCCTACTGACAAAAAAACATGAGAAGTATAGAATGTATGCTGATCAGTAAAATATTTGGGTAGCAAGACATAGCTGCATGATTTGTTTGCTGTTACATAAAACACAGTAAAGAAACAGGGAAGGCCGGGAGCCGGGAGCTCATGCCTGTAATCCTAGCTATTCAGGAGGCTGAGATCTGAGGATCATAGTTCAAAGCTAGCCCGAGCAGCAAAGTCTTCGAGGCTCTTATCGCCACAACAACCAGAAAACCGGAAGTGGCACTGTGAGCTGAGGGGCAGTGCCCAGGCCCAGAGTTCAACCCTACGACCACTACCACCACCACCAAAAACCCAAAAAACAAAAACAAAAAACAAGAAATGGGGTAATGTTTATTTTAAGATTATATAAAAACTACATCCACATCATGACAAACATGTGTGGACAATGATATGGTATATGTTTAATGTTTTCATATTAAAATAGTTAAATATTTTAAGTATCCTAAATATATAATGACTAAGTATAGTATGAATAAGATATACTAAGTATTGTTACTTTAAAATTTGCTAATGTTAACTTCTCATACTAAATTAAATGCCAAAAAATAAGCACTTTAACTAAAGAATATAGGCTAAAATATTACATTGATTACAAATAATATACAATATCTTTAATACTTGCCCTGTTCTAGCAAATTATATTTCATATTAAACTGCACTTTTACATTATATGATGATATATTAATAATTAATATGAAAACACTTTAATTTTCATAGTGTTGAATAAATTGGGAGTTGTATAACTAACTCTAATCAACCAAGTAAATAACAATCATCAATCTTTTGAGAACCATCAGCATAATCAAGAAACTACTAAATATAACACAAATATCATTTTTATTGAAACATTTGACCTATCTATAGCTTGAGGTAGAACACAGCAAGATTCATTTCCAAACATGGTTTTTTGTGGTTTTTTTTTTTTTTTTGTTGGCTGTGGGCTTGAACTCTGGGTCTGGGTGCTGTCCCTCAGCTCTTCAGCCCAAGGCTAGCGCTCTACCACTTGAACCACAGTGCCACTTCCTCATTTCCAAACAAAAATAAAAAATAAAATTTAAAAGAAGTTTATGTTTTTTTGAAAACACATCATCACCACAAAGGAGAGAATTCCTCTTGTGTAAATCACACTTATTTTAGGAACTACATTAAGTAAATAATTTTGCAGAACATGATAAACAGCAAGCAAATCTTTTAAGTATTTTCCTCCTCTAATTTCTATAAAATGGGTAGAAAATACATTAAATTATTGAAATGTAAATACTACATTAAAGTAACCATTTTCTTTGTAGATAGATGATGGGGGGGGGGGGGAGAAGGGGGGAGGGTGGTTCCTGGGGTTTGTACTCACAGCCTAGGCACTGTCCCTGAATTACTATGCTCAGGGCTAGCACTCTACCACTTGAGCCACAGCTCACTTCTGGCTTTTTTGGGTGGCTAATTGGATGTAAGAATCTCACAGACTTTGCTGTCCGGGATGAACCTCATTCCTCAGATCTCAGTCTTCTGAGTAGCTAGGATTGCAGGTTTGAGTCCCTGGTGCTAGGTTCAAAAAAAATTTTTTTTTGGTCGGTTGTGGGGCTTGAACTCTGGGCCTGGGTGTCCCTCAGCTCTTCAGCTCAAGGCTAGCGCTCTACACTTCAGCCACAGCACCATTTCCGGTTCAATTATCTTTTTAGCCATAAAGTTAATCAAGTTTTGATACAAATGGTTTATTCTGCAATAAAGGGATCCAGTTGCCAATTAGAATGCAGTATTTAATTACTGTGGCCAAAGTTGGGATATTTACATTGTCATTACTAAAGGAAAAAAAATCCAGACATAATATTCTGCAAACCCCTTTTGCCTATCACAACCACATATTTTAATTACATAATTTAATGAAACAGTTTAAGGTAATACCACTCTGATGTCTTTCTTTCAATTTTTAAGTAGCTTGTATTTAAAAAAAGAAAGAAAATCAAGCCACAAATATTAATGAGAAATGCTTTTTTGCCAATAGACACTTAAAAAAAAAACTCATTTATGATACGAAATTTCAACTAAACTTATTCAACTAAAGACAATGGAGATAAAATGTGGTTTTTTATGTTTCTTTAGATTGTTTTTTTGTGTGTGTGCCAATGTCAACACAATAATCATCCTCTCTGGCTGTAGCTTCCACACTTAAAAAGTTTCCCTGAGATAGAAAAACATTAACAGAAAAAAAAATTCTCTGAAGTAATCCTACCTTATAGAAAATGGTCTCAAAGTAAAATAAAATAGTAGCAAATGATGGAAATTAAAGTTTATAAGACTTAAAAGTTCATTTAAACCAGATATATATTAATAGTAAAACACTATGTGATATGAAATATTTAAAAGTATTTGGAACATTTAAGAAACAGAAACATCTACAGAAATAATCACAGTAAAAATTTCAGTTGCATGTTTAATCTCCATAATGAATTGGGTATACTCATGAAAATGTGAGAAATGAACTAGATAATTTTAACCAACTATTTGAGGTTCTCAATGGTCACCTGAAACTTTTTTCCCTCTATACCAGCAAAACCAGGTTGAATTGGGTGGGGAACATTCTGTTCATGGGCAGTCGGAGGCCTGTGAAATAATGTGACCTGGCCTTGCCAAAGCAATTGCAGGAAGCATTAAAATTCAATAAAGAGGAGGTTTTTTGTTTTTTGTTTTTTTCTCTTAGTAACATAACTATCAATACCAGCTAACATCTCCCAATAAAGGCTCTTGGCAGATTAGAAGGTTCCCTACTCCTGAAAGTCATATAGCCAATTAGAATGTATAATAATGTACAAAAAATGATACTTATCTACGTTCTTTTTTTTTTTTTTGTAGTCGTGGCGCCTGAACTCTGGGCCTGGGCACTGTCCCTCAGCTCTTCAGCTCAAGGCTAATGCTCTACCACTTGAGCCACAGTGCCACTTCTGATTTTTTCTGCTTATGTGGTGCTGAGGAATCAAACGCAGTGTCTCATGCATGCAAGGCAAGCATTCTACCACTGAGCCACCTTCCCAGCCCCTTTAGATACGTTCTTAATATTTAATGACATCTCTGGGTCATTTTAAAATTTAAAAATTTTTAAATATATTCAAATTTATTACATTGCAAAGGGGGAAGGTAAGCAGGTAGACTTGATATGCATATCCATACTATTGGTAAAAGTTCCAGTATGGATATAAGAACAAAATATTATCCATTCCTTTATGTAGAAACCATTAATAAAAGGCTAATAAAAGCCTTTGAGGAATCCAAGAAGAATCAGACTTAATGTTTACCCATATTTATTTTAAAAGTAAAATGATATGATAGAAAAATTTGACCTACTTAACCCTGGCTCTCTTAATTTTGAGTCTGTCTGGTACCTATCTATTAATCTATTTTCAGTTTTTTTTTAAAAAAGCGCATCCTATAAAAATAGTTTCATTTCATTTTTCGACACAGCGTCTTGTACTTCTCATTGCAATGGGTTAACCTGTATCCCTATTTAAACAATTTGTTTTTTCCCTTCCCCTCCCCAAATTATACCAACATCAAATACAGTGAAAACAGAGGTTATACCATGGGGTTGGGACATACAAAGCAACAAAAAATCACGTGGTACCTTATAAATACGTTAGAAACAATAGCAAGCAAGAAAAAAACCACTAGTGTGCTTATCTTGGGGGTTCATTTACAATTTAGGCGGGAGTGGGGTAAAGGAGGGAGTGTAGTAGAGAAGGGAGGGAAGGGGTGGTAGGGGAAAAACAAAGGAGGGGGCAACAATGCTTGATAAAAAATGTACTCATTACCTTGCTCATGTAATTGTACAGTATTTTCACAATAAAAAAACTTATTTAAAAAATAAAATAAAATAGTTTCAGAAACTCCAAAATAATCCCTACATACCTCAAAAGAGCTTATGGCACAGTAGATCTTCAACGCCATCAAATGCTACTTGAGTTATTTCATTTAATATGTAAGGAATTAAGACATCAGTTGATGCAAAGTATTTTTTTAGGATATATCTACAAACTTACACAAACAATTTATTTCTGTTAAGTTTTCTTCAGGACACATCATAGAATTGGTCCTCTGGTGAATTAATGAGTTACTAACAAACACTAGTGTATATTGCCTTTGACATCAGGTTGGAGAATAAAAAAATGAATATAAATTCTGTGAAAAACTGCATTATATTGGCTGATAAAAATGCAGTACTAAGTATGAGTTGGATTTTTTTTATCCCCTAGTAAAAACCAACAAACCCCTCTTATTCCTTACCTAAGTGCATCTTGAATTTTTATAAAGAAAATTCATCTTATGATATAGAAAGTTCCTTAAAAGAGAAGATACTACCAAAGAGAATTCTTTCTTTGTTTTTAAGTGGTCCCAATAAAGCAAAATGAATCACTGTGTATCTGTTAAAATAAGGCCAAAGAATTTCAATTATCTGAATTAGGACATGGTACTCGTGCCAGCATCTCTTTATACTTTCCTATAGATTCTATAGGAAGGCTATGCAGTTATTAAGAAGAAACATGCTAATCATTGTTATTTATGACATCTGAAAATGGAAAAAATGACCATTTGTAGGGTTAGAAAGAAAACATGTAATTATATAATGAAAAGGAAGCAAGCATTTCAGCTCATGTTTAGCTCATTTTAATACTTTACAGGAATTGAGGTGTTTAAACTGTTTTGCAATCAGTATCTTTTTCGAAGACAGAAAACAAAACACGTTACTAAACATAATAATATAGCATTTGGCTTACATGTTCATTCCAGGCATTCCAGGGCCACCTAAAGCATTCAGTGGGGGTCTCATTGCACCTCCATAGTTCTGTAATGATAACCAAGGGTCAGACTACCACAAAACAAAAAAACAAAACCAAAGAGGAGGGGGGAAAGAAAGGAGAGTAGGTTAATGATTTCCCTACATAACTCCTGATTGGATAAGGCCTGTGTAATTCATTCTCTGAAGAGTCCACTCTTGTATTTTTTTGCCTCTACTTTTAACAATTATTTTGGTTTGTGTCTTAAAAACTACATGCATATGGAAGACCATCAGAGCATGTTAAATCATTAAGTATGGTTGGAATGTAATAGTCAACATTATTTTATTAATTTCAAAATATCTGGATACTAGTAAACTTTTTCAAATAAAACATTTCATAAATCCACAATTCTATTTTTAGAAAAATATACTTGTTCAACTAGTTTGAAATTGTCAGACTGAGAACAGTTACATAAAATCTGAAAAAAATGGTAAAAGCAACTTAAGGAAATTTACTATAAACTATTGATCATAATATAACATATCTAACATGGAAATGTAGTAATATATACAAAGATACCAAATACATGGAAAATAAAATATATTCAAAAAATGCATGCACAAATTACACAACCCAAAAAAACTAGTTAATATTGACCATCTGACTTTGAAGGTAAAAATCATTTAATGTTGTATATGGATATTATATTAGTTTACTTGTGTTGATGGCCAAAAAGTTACTATTATCATGTAAATTTATTTTAACATTTATAAGGGACTTTCACACTACTATACTACTAATAGTAATAATTTCACGAATGATACAATTTCTCTTATTCTTCTAAGCATTTTCATTGATTTTTCTTTTTATTTTGTTTGTTAACTCTTTAAGTATTGCTTTTCCCAAGTTCTAGTTAGAATATTCTTTTCTCAATACACATTTATGGGTAATCTTATCTATTACAATTTTCAAACTATTTATGCCTTAGGAAGTCCAAATATTTATATTTTATCATGCTATCTTGCCCAGTTCCTAGGTAGCTCATGTTGAATTTCACAAGAGTTGTTCCCATCATGTGTAACATAACCAAAAGAAACTCATTATTATCTTCTTGGGATTGAGTTTATTGTTGCTCTTATTTTGTTTGACTTGTTGAAAAGATAGGTACTAAGCCTTTCACCTGGCTAGGCAAGTATTCTACCACTTGACCTACACCCATAGCACTTTTGATTTTATTTTGTTTTTGAGACAGCCCCATTAATTTTTCCCAGGCTGACCTTGAGCTCTTCCTTGCCTTCTTCTATTTCATAGCTGGGATTATGAGGTCTATCACCATGGCCAAGATGACTGAGTGCTATGTGTCGCTTCCCTCAGTCAGTTCTGTGGTACCACTAGCCACTGAACAGTCCACAGCAAAAATTATTTAGGGTTCCTTGACATCTTTTATTTCCCATATTTAACCAGAAAAAAAGACTATTGACTTGTCTGTGAAATGGTTTTTAAAATAGTAATCTCGTTCCTGTCTCGAATCTTGGTTATGTGCTGAAGCAACTGTACTATCTTCACAGGCCTCCTTTACGCTCTACCTGTCCCAAGCTATTTCCATACTGCTGTCTCTTGAGTTAAGTTACTTGATATCTATGGAGACCACAGAGCCCAGCCACAGTCTATGTTTTCTCCTCTGTTACCTATAATTTTCACTTTTCTTTTCTACATCCAATCATATTTCCAGCCTACTGTATTTTCCAAGTTCACAAACATATAATACAGTTTATTACTCATTTTAACTCATCTTTCTGGCACTTTTTTTGGTAGTATTACAATGGCAGGGAAATGAATCAATTAGTGAAAGATCTGTTAGCTTTAGAGATAAATAAATGAAACAGCCTAGTTACATGGTATGTTCACTGCTTATTTACTTTTACTTTAAGGAGATCTTATTTGAATCTCTTAATTTGTGAGTTATGGGATGATAGAATAGTTTTTGAGCCATGGGCTAAATGATTATCATGGTGATAATAATTAGCAAAGGGGTTATGAGAAAACATAAAAAGAGAGATGAAATATGAGTGGTAAAGTAAGCTAGAAATGCTCCATAAGAAAACTCTCCTTCTTCTTTAGTCTAAAAAGAAAGCATTAATTTTCCTTGTAGCTCTGGATATTGAACTATCTTGGTTTGAATCCCTACTACTATGGCCCAATAACACAGGGTCTCATTATGTTTTCTGGCTGGCCTCAAGCTTGTGATCATGAGCCTTAGCCTTCAGAGTGCTGGGACTACAGGTGTGTGCTATGACATGTGGCTGCTTCTTCATGTGTAATGTTGGACCAATGATTCTCCAATTTCTATATTCTTTATTTGCAAACTGACAATATTGTCATCCTTGTAGACATGTTGGAGGATAAAAGGAAAGACCAAGTACTAATCACAGTGCTTCTTGAACAAAAATCATGGCACTTGAATGAGTACACTTTTCCTTAACTTCCCATTTGTTCTCAACTCTGATAAAATTACTTGCCTGTTTATGTGCCGAGTTCCTGAGTTATTAGTTAGTTAGTAATGATGGAAGTATCCCTGTTTTCTAGGCATTTTCTATTATGTAATATTTTTCTAGCTGTATTTTTATCTCCTGCTAAACAGTAGTACCTTGAAGGCAGAGTTTATTTTATTCATCTTTGGTACTTGATGTTGTTCAAGTATTGTGTTTGAAATATAGTAGGTCTTTAATAACTGTTGGGCTTATTAAACTGAATTATCACACAAAATCAATAAGCAATTATTCAATATAGTACATAGTTGATAGATTTATGAAAAAATTCTTTTTCTGATTAATCTAATGCAAAAAGAAACCAAGAAGTAAAGATAGAATAACAACAGGCTTTCCAAGTGATATCAAAAAAGGCAGAATGGGAAGAGCTAATTTAGAATCCCTGAATTTTAAAGCTGATGGCAACTATACAATTCCATCTGTTCTAATCTCTCTTCCAATGCAATGTTCCTTATAAAATGGCTGTTCATACTCTGCTTGGAAACTTTATAAAGTCTTTCCTTGATTGGACAGTTTAATTTCTAGGAAGTTTTCCCCTGTACTGGGCTGAATTCTACCACTTATATTAGATTTGGAAGGATGGAATCAGTTTTCTCTCTGTGTGAAAGCACATCATATATTCATCTCTCCATTTCTGCAGCCCAAGTATCTGATTTGGAAATCTTACTTGCATATAACTTAATTATCCTCCACAATTCTGGAGAAACTGGAAATAGTTGGGTAGTTAGAATGAATTTTTTGGTTATCATTCAGTACTTTCTAAACTTAAAGATGCAGGTCAACTTCTTGCTTGAGACAAGTAAAAGATGACTTCAAATAGAGTATTAGGAGGGATATTTTCTTGATTTAACAGATAAAGTTGTATTTGTATTGAAAGGACACTAATATAAATTTTTTAAAAATCACATACTGTTACTGTACTTAGATTTAAAATAGATTAAGATGGAGCCAATATATCTGAATTGTAGGCAAACTTTTATTTCTTCATCTGCACAATTTTAACTGGTAACCACGTGGTTATACAAACCAGCATTATTCAAGAATCATTAGACTATGCATACTTCTTTTAAAACCTCAGTTGTTCTAATATATAACTACTGTACCCCTTCACCGTGTTTATCTTAAGTTTAAGAAAATGAACCAATGTTTATTAAAAGCAAGTATGTGTAATGTAGTTGTGCATAAAGGAAAACACAATGTTTCAGACTGTTTTTTACAATATAACTAAAAAGACGAAGAAAAGGGAGATGCAGGCTGTTTTTGTGTAGCATCTATGTAGTTAAATGCTTGTTCTGAGACGTGTTTTCCAATATCAAGAAATATAGCTAACCTTTATCATAAATAGCACAGTTTATAATGTACATATTTTAGATGACAACTGATGCCAAATAAATTTATCATATGACTTCTCTTGTTCCATGGGATTTTAGTAGTAATTTTTCCTACTGCACCATTCATATGAATATGATTCTGATTTCATTGAAATGTTTAAGTTCCCTACCCATCCTTTTATTTGTTGCTATGATTTTATAAGGTTATGATAGGTATTTATTGTTTGTGAGGTAAGTTATTACCAAGGCACTTTCTCTCATATTATATAGAAATAGATAGCAAAGGCATCTCAATCTAAACAGAAGAAATAAACTAATATCTTTAATTTTGAAAATCAAAGATTTTTGAAAAAAGTGTAACATAGTTTCTTAAAGTCATCAATAAATTGCTCAACAGAAATACGTTTTAATCTGTTGTAATTTATTTGTAACATAAAGATATAGTTATTTATCTATTTATAAAACATAGTAATGAGAATGTTTTTAACTTTTTGCATTTTCAAATGAGAGCTGAGAGTTCAAATAGCTTATGCAATCATTATATACTTATTTGAACACAGCAATACTGACTCTTTGATCTCCTTTCTAAAAGTAATAAAAGCTAATATTAGTCTGGTAGGTTGTGAACATTTATAATTACAACACTTGAGGGGTAGGAATAAGGCAGGGATTGGGGAGAGAGGTAGAAGGATTGTGAGTTCAATGCCAGCCTGGGGTATGTAGTAAAACCTTGTCTCCAAAACAGAACAACAAAAACAACCGTTATCCCAACAATAATAGTCTTCGAATGACAAGAACTTAAGAGAGTAGCTAGTTAAAAAATAACTGAACAATGGTAATTAAACTATAGGCATGAAGGTTTTGATGCATATTTATAATGAATCACTTAAACTTTGGGGAAAACATTCTTTAACTTCTAAACACACAACTTGGTTGTTCTAGTTTATAAAGACTAGAAGTTCATTTAGTCATTTAGTCAACAGCCCATACATCTTATAAATTCTAACTACTATTAATATCAGTTTGAAGCCGTTTCTAATCTGGGTAGAAAGAGGAAAAATAAATATCTAAACAAGAGTTTTATATGATCGTAAGAAACTATATTTGAAAAAACTGATCCTAAGCAAAATAACTGGGGGTAAGGAGGGTGGGAGGTGCTGACCTCTATGTTTACATAGTGAATTTTTTTTGTTGTTGTTGTTGGTCATGGGGCCTGAACTCTGGGCCTGGGCATTGTCCCTGAGCTCTTCAGCTCAAGGCTAGCGCTCTACCACTTGCGCCACAGCACCACTTCCGGCTTTTTCTAATTATGTGGTGCTGAGTAATTGAAAACAGGGCCTCATGCATGCTAGGCAAGCACTCTACCACTGTATCCGCTGAGCCACCTTCCCAGCCCAACTTCGTGACTTTTTTAATGGAAAATGAGAAACTTAGGTTATATGAGCTTCATGTTTAATATAGTTTATATTATTGTATGCTGACTAGAAACTTCTTGGTCTAAATTATCTTAGTGCTGCATTCTTAAGTCTTTGATCCCCACTGTGGGGTCAATAAAATATTAGTTTAAAATATATACATGAAATAAGTTACTAAACTATCAAGGGCAATGCTTTTAAATGGCAGCATAAATTCTGCTAAATTCTAGTCTATGAACTACAATTTTTAAAATGATTTTGGACAAGTTTTCTTTAAAAACATCATAAAATTAATTTCTATTTCAAGCCATTTTTCCTAGAGAAACAAAAGGACATTTTAGCTAAAATAAATGATATTCATGAAAAAGATGCTTGAAAGTTGACCAAACCTTAGAACATGCTCAATCTCAGTGTATTGTTTTGGGGAATTTTGATAGAGAAACTATATAATATCTGATACATATCAATAGTATTGTCCTTGTTCAGTAAGACAAACAAACATTTCTGAATGGTTTTCTATTGCTTTACAATTCTATACAAATAGTTTTATATAACAAATTTCTGATGACATTCTTTACAAGATTTATAGAAATATATTCAATGTTTATTGTATTTAGTATTTTCAATTGAATAGGCTTTATTAACTATATTTCCTCCCCATCCTCCTGGTAGTTCTGGGTTTAAATGAAGGACCTATAGTGCTTGCTAGGCAGGTTCTCTATTGCTTGTACCTCTAGCCCCTTGTTATTTTTCAGATAGAATTTCACTTTATTTCTCCAGCTGGACTGGACCATGATCTTCCCATTTATGCTTCTCAAAATAGAGCAACAGGCACCCGCCACCATGCCCAGATTTCTTCTTCTAAAATGAGGTCTCATGAACCCTTTGCTTGGGAGGATTCAATCTATGACCTTCCTGATCTCAGTTTCCCAAGTAGCTAGGATTTTGAGTCTTAAGTCACCAAATGGCTAAAATATTTCCTTAAAAGAGTAATGATTCTCTTTTTATATTTACTATAATGTATTTCTGCAATGTATTGGGGAAATATACTGCATAGAAATATATTAAACATAAAATTAGAAAGTATAGGTTATTGTTATACCAGTCTACAAATATCATATATATCATATCCTCAAGAGCCTACCAACTATGAATATCAACAAGACTTAAGGTGGTGAGGATTGAATCCAGGATGTATGCTAAACATGTACTCTCCTACTAAGTTAAAATCTTCAGACACAATGTGTAACAAGACTTTAAGGCATATGTTAAAAATGAACAAACACTATGGCCTACTTATATAAGATGAAAGCAAAATGCTTAGCATCCAGCTTCTGTACCTATCATTACCTGTGGTCCTAAGGGCACCATTCCTCTTGGAGGAGTCATTCTCTGCATTGGGCCACCCATATTTGGATGTCCTGAAAGAAAGTTAGAAGGTATTAGTAGTGTAATGATCATGAACACTAAATTAGAGACTAGCTTACTCTCTTGATAGTATAATAACATCTTATAGAACAAGTGTCTGAGTGACTGATTTCTTCATAACTTGTCTTTTATGGCCATTTTTCTACTTCTGGCCATCATCTACCCACACTATATTTATATATTTCTTTCTTCTCTTTGTTAAAATGTTTTTCTCACATTTGCTCATTTTTCTAGAATAGTAAAATAGAGCTTTAGAGATGTGTACTACTACTATGTATCTCTGGTAAGGACTTGAAACAAAGTCACTTGTTTCCTTATCCATCTCCTGTGTACTATCATATCTTCAAAAGGCAGAGAAAATAATAAAAAATGTAACTTTTCCTGATGGTTACAAATTATACAAAAAATGCTAGATATTACTAACATATGGAATGTTGATACCTATGTATTTTTAAAATACTTTAACTACCCTAACATTCATAATTAAGAGTTATATATAATTTAGTCATGTTGTCTGCAAAAATACAACTGATTATTATGGTACATATGTACAAACAAAAACTTTCATTGAAGCATTGAAAATTTCCTTTTTGGTCTGTACATCAACCTTACTTCCCAGGGTTTCACCCTGGGAAGGCCAGGCAGACTCCTCCCTCCTCTCGGCTAAGTCTCTGCCTAGTACCTGTGTCACCTAGGTAACTGGTACACCTGACAGTCACTTCCTCTTCCTCTTAGGTCACATCCTAGGCTGCTGCCCCCCAGTTACACTTCCCATCCGATTGGAGGAGGGTCCTAGGCTCTGAGGTCAGTCATATCCACATCTGGTGTGGCCACACCACAGAAGGCTGTGCCTTCTCCCTGCCCCTTCCCTACTTAAACCCAGGCCAGACCTGGCCAGCCCCCTTTCAGCCATGTGGTCTCCACCATGCAGCAGTTCAGTAAAACAATGAACTTCTCTTCCTGCCTGAAAATCGTGTGGTGTTCTCTACCTGATTAAACCTAGCATATTTAATGTACCTTACACTTCTATTTCGGGTGGTTACCTTGTTGTCTTGTTGGGTCCATTCCACTGGGGAGTAATGGCTGACTTCCTGGGACACCTCCAAGTGCCTAGCAATTTGGTAAAACAAGATAGGAAGCAATATTGTAAGTATTTATGCAATGATGTTTAAATACTTCCCTTTAAAATTTCTATAACTACACAGTGCATTCAGTACTCAAGATTTTTATGTTTATACTCAGTAATAAATGTTATAGTTCTACATAGTGCTACACAGTGTGAGTTCTTGACTTTAGAAAGGTTTTATTTTGACCAATTTTGTGTCAAACAAGATAAGGAAGACGAGGAAACAAAAGCCTAAGCAAAAACCATTCTATTTCTTTCTGAAAAGTATAATGCTTTTTCTGTGAAATTTAACTTGCAAAAGGTTCCTGAAATGACTAATTGTATTTCTTCAAATTAAACTGGGTTATTTTTTTAACAGAATAGTATACCCATTTATCATTAGAATAATAGCAGGGATAAAACGGCAAGGGACCAATGAATACTTTTTTCCCCCTGCAGTCATGTTTTCCCTAAGAAGCTCTAAAAAAATTCAATTAAGTTTGAACAATTGTTGTTTGTAAAAAAGTGAACTAAAAGTGCAAAGAATACAATTTAATAAGGTTTGTTTTATACTGACTCACACTTTTATATAATTGTCTGAGCAGCACTCAGAGGTGAATTAAGCTATATGTGATTTAAAACTGTGGATACCAGGAGTGTTTAAACACATGCATACAGAATCCTTCAAATATTTCAAAAGAAATTTCACATCAATGCGTGTATATAACCAAAGCAGTTCTTTAAATTATTATCACTTGAAATCAGTAGAGAGCTTCAATTTCTCAAGTATTCTTTCTTGTAATTCCACGAATGTTTTGCTTGCAAGCACAACCAATGCATATTTACAGAGTCCCTGCTTCATGAAATGTTTCCTGATTGCTTTGCCAGCCTAATTTCTTGCCACTGCCATACACATATTCTAATTTCAACTTCTATGGTTTTTTTCTATTTATACATTCAATTAATAACATCTAAATTCAACCTGTTAAAAAAAAAAAAACTGGAAATAAGCCAGGCACTAGTGGCTTACACATGTAATCTTAGCTAGTTAGGAGGCTGAGATCTGAGGATCAAGGTTCAAAGCCAGCCTGGGAAGAAAAGTCCATAAGACACTTATCTCCAATTAGCCACCAAAAAAAGCTAAAAGAGTTATGCTCAAGTGGTAGAGTGCCAGTCTTAAGAGGAAAATGCCATGAGTGAGCAAGATGCTCTGAGTTCCAGTACCAGCATTCATGTATACACAGACATAGACAAAAAAATTATATACAAAATATCACTTCTCTCAGTCAGCTCACTGTTCTTTGGTTATTGCTGGTACCTTTTAAATCTCAATTTAGCGTACCTTTTGCTAACAAAATTCTTATAACTCCAGTCTGGGTAAGTATATACTATACATATACATGCATAAATGAATATATATGTACATGTATGTTTAGGATAGGCATGTACATATATACTATTTTTGTTCCATGAATAATACAAGATTTCCTATATACCTGGCTATTTGGACCCATATTTTCTAATTATGATTTCACATTTGCCTTATTACCCTGTCTTTCCTTCTCTCTCTCCCTCCATTCATTCTTGAAATTCTTTTCCAGAACTACTTGGGAGCAAGCTACAGACATACTGCCTTACCACCTCTATGCACTACAAAATATAGTAGCCCAAACAAGCATATTCTCCTACATAATTACCATGTTTTAAGAAATCAACAAAACTATCATCCAAGTTACAAAACTAATTTAAATTTACTAGTTTTTTTCAGTGACATGTCTTTTTTTTTCTTTTTGGTACCAACACATCATAGAACCTATGCTGCCTTTGGCATGTTTCTTCATGCCTGTTTATAGAACCCCTATCTATCATGTCCTCAACAGTTTTAAAGACAGTAAGCGTTGTACATTATCGGCTGATTCTGGTAAGTATACATGAACTTGACTCAGGTCATATTTTCCTCACAGAAATCCCATGGAAATGAGGCAATCCTCTTTTCAGTGTAGCACCCCTGTGGGCACATGAAGTTGATGCATCCACTATTGGTAATATTCATCTTTATCATCCATTGTGTCCACAAGGTTCCTACAACATAAGGCCATTGTTTTTCCCTCTACAATTAGTTGATTTTTATTGCTAGCTATTCTGAGATTGTTAATGTCACATTCCTCATTAGTCCTTTGTTACTTCCATTAAAAATCCCTAATCTCAGAAATGGTTGACAAATGGAGACATTCTATGATCACCACTCTTACAAAGTTTCATAGTTGGCGTTTTCACAGTGAGGAAAGGCTGTCCATATTTATTCTAACTTAACTGATCTCTTAACTCAAACCCCACCACAGTGTTATCTGTGTGGCTCCTGCCCAGTCCTGAATGACCCAGCACAGATGAAGTTCTTAGAAACTCACTACGTTTTCTCAGAGGAACTTATGCTTCACTTTTGTAGAAATTACATGCTGTAATTTCTCTTCACACTGTAAGTTCTAAAAGAATAAAGACCTTATTTGTGACTACTGACAGTAACAAATGTTTATTGAAGAACTAAAAGGAATAAATTTAGATTGGACAATTTTAGGCATCCTGAGTACTAAAGTAAAAAACATAGAATAAAAATCAGAGAACAAGGAGAAAAAGTAGAAAAAGATTTAATTATTTTAAAATGCCAAAGAGAAGTAAGGAAATTGGGCTGGGAAGGTGGCTCAGTGGTAGAGCACTTGCCTTGCATGCATGAGGCCCTGGGTCTGATTCCTCAGCACCACATAAGCAAAAAGAAAAAAGCTGGAAGTGGCGCTGTGGCTCAAGTGGTAGAGCATTAGCCTTGAGCTGAAGAGCTGAGGGACAGCGCCCAGGCCCAGAGTTCAGGCCCCACGACCGGATCCAAAAAAAAAGGAGAAGTAAGTAAATTGAATAGGTATTAAATTAGGAAAGTATCATAATCACTATTTCCTAAGAATACATGAGGAAAAAGGAAAAAGAGGACAAGTACTTTAAAAATAATAAAGAAATGAAGACAAAAATATGACTAACATTACATTCAATTATGAATCTGAAATCCATGCTTTTGTATATATGTGTGTATGGAACTGGGGTTTGAACTCAGGTCCTTGAGTTCAGTAAGCAGGCACTCTATCATGTGAGCCTAGCTTCCAGTACTTTATGCTATTGTTTTTCTAAACAGAATTTAACTTTTTGCCTGGACTGACCTGGCCTATGATCCTCTTATTTATACTCCTATTTACTGGGATGACAAGTATGTACCACCTTGCCCAAAAGTTTGTGCACTTTTGCTCAGCAGTGTCTCAAACTGTTATCTTTCCAGTCTCAGATTTGGAAGTAAACATTACAGACTGAGCAGTGCACTGTACCAGGTAAGCTCTTACTTTTTTTAAGTCTTCGAGTTCTTAGCTAAATTATACACCCTAGACTTTGATGCTTAAGTTTCCAAGTCCAACTGTAAGTAAAGATGCTTTATTGCTGGTAAGCATTTGTTTAAAAATTTAGATTTCTGGATTTCAAATAATAATTTAAATGTTAATAATATAATTATTATAAAGTATATGGTGTTCCTAATGACAGAAAGTTATTTTTGAATTGGACAAAAAAACTACTTCATTTTATCATTAGCTACTAATTTATAGATGCAGGTAAAACATATTTAAAGTTAGAGATCCCTATATACTAAATACTCCTTTTTAGTAACTAAGATACTCCTATTATTTACTTAGCAGTCTATATTTCTTTTTATTCAGCTTAAGTCTTCCATTTCATATTGGTAAATAAACTAAATAAAAGTTAAACTAAAAACTTTTTACAAGGCTAGAAAATTACTGGCAAAAGATATGTAAGTAATGTTTATCTTGAATAAAAAATCATGAAGAAGGGGCTGGGAAGGTGGCTCAGTGGTAGAGCGCTTGCCTTGCATGCCTGAGGCCCTGGGTTCGACTCCTCAGCACCACATAAGCAAAAAGAAAAAAGCCGGAAGTGGTGCTGTGGCTCAAGTGGTAGAGTGCTAGCCTTGAGCTGAAGAGCTGAGGGACAGCACCCAGGTCCAGAGTTCAGACCCCATGACCGGACCCAAAAAAAAAAAAATCATGAAGAATAAGTAGAAAGTTTAAAATATAGTATCTTAGTTACATGCTGACAGAGAAATTTTATTTTCCCTATGTAAAAAAAAGTCAAAACAACTTTTTCAATGCTCAACTTTTCAATGCCTATACTTTTTTTAATCTGAAAATTCATGAAGTCTTTTCAAAGTTAGCGTATGCTTACCAACTATTATATTCTTTTTCTTACCATATAGGAACTACATATTAACTATTAATAAAGGAAAACTTACCGACTGAATTTATCAGAAGAAAAAAATCTATTTTCATTAATCTATATATGTAATTAATATCTTTTTACAATTATAAATGCAATATGTGTGCTTAATGAAATTTTAAAAATACTAAATTTCTTTTTTAAAAAATTCAAAATTTCCCAACCTAGAAATAAAGCATATAGTTTTTTTTTTACAGTCATCTTGAAATTTATGAGCATGTGTATGATGAGAGATGCATAGTGAATGAGAGAAAACTCTCATATGGTAAGGGTGAGAAATACATGCTTTGAGCTTTTTTTTTAGTGTATGGTAATGAATCATATACACTTCAGAATATCAATAAATTTAATTCTATAGCATATCTTTTAATATCTGCATGCTGTTTCATTATTTAAATATATCATTTTTAACTGCTCACCTATGTATTGGCAGACATATATATATTTTGGGGGGGGTCCGGTTGTGGGGCCTGAACTCTGGGCCTGGGTGCTGTCCCTCAGTTCTTCAGCTCAAGGCTAGCGCTCTACCACTTGAGCCACAGCGCCACTTCCAGCTTTTTTCTTTTTTCTTATGTGGTGCTGAGGAATCGAACCAGGGCCTCATGCATGCAAGGCAAGCGCACTACCATTGAGCCACCTTCCCAGCCCCTTGGCAGATATTTTTGAAGATCTGAATACTACTGTCAGAGGTAGAATGCTTTTAGAACAGCAAATTCCCATTTTCTGTTATCAATTCATGTATCTATTTGTATTGTTTGAGGAATAGTAAGTAAGGTATGGATTTTTCAAATTCCCAAAATAAGTCAGCGATTTATTGTTGGCATCATTCATCGACAATTTCTGAGTTTCAGGCTATCTTTATTCCTCCTCATAGTGTAGAATACATGCTGTGAGTTTTTGCAACTAGGTATTTTATCTATGCAAAGGGTAAAGAGCTGCTCTACTTCAGGTAATAGATGCTTCAACAACACAGAGCTTTCAAAGAGCTGAACCAATTTCAATGTAAACTTGTATGATTAGGTCATTCTGTTTCTATACTTCGTGTTTCTTTGTATACATTAACTCTTTGTTGTATTTTACTTTTTGTTGTTGTTGTTGGTGGTGGTCTTGAGGCCTGAACTTTGGGCCTCGGCACTGTCCTTCAGCTCTTTAGCTCAAGGTGAGCGCTCTACCACTTGAGCCACAGCACCACTCTGGCTTTTTCTGCTTATGTGGTGCTGAGGAATCAAACCCTGGGCCTCATGCATGCAAGGCAAGCACTCTACCACTGAGCCACCTTCCCAGCCCCTGTATTTTACTTTTTGTGACTTAACTTTCATCATTTTAGGAGCAATTTACTACTATCTGTTTCCGTTTCTTCTATGTATTTTTCTATATATTGCTCTTTTTATATTTCTAATATATTCTTTTCTATATAGTTTCAACACATTGATATGTGAGATTTCTAAAATTCAGTCTTATAAATGAACAAATAGTATAAGCCATTACAAATTTAGTCTAGAGACGTAAAAATCATTTCAGCAAAGTTTAAACTAAAATCTATAGTCTAATGACCAGTAATTTTAAATTGTGAAGCGCCTGTTTACTAACAGAATAACTTTCACATATTCAAAATGCCTAGCCGATAGCACTGAAGAACTTATTTAATTGTCTAATTTCTTAGGTACAATCTATAATAAGGAAAAGTTTTAGTAGATTAAATTAAAACTCAACTTAAAAGCTTTTTTCTTATTTTTATATTCATTCAAATTAATTAACAAAGTTAGGACAACTCCATTTAATGACTGCATAATAAAACTGAAGAATCAGCTTTGTGCTTAAAAAGTTATGCTCTTGAAAATTTTCTTAAAATACTATTATTTACATTACCAGTACAATTATTTTTTAAAATAGCACAAATATAAATTATGTAAGTTCAACTAATATCTATATGAATTAGCAAAGTGTGTGTGTGTGTGTGTGTGTGTGTGTGTGTGTGTGTGTGTCTGTCTGTCTGTCTGTCTGTCTGTCTCGGGGGCACTGACTTGACAAACATAGCTATGCTTTAAAATACATTTTAATTGTATCTTTAGAAACTCCAATGATAATACATATGTGGTTTAAAAAATCTTCAAATAAATTAAGTTTATAGATTCAAATTGATACCACTGACTATTCTTAAAAGTATGTCTTATATTCTCGAAAGAATATAATACCTAGTACAGTATTTTATACATGAGAGAAATGTCAAGAATATCAAATGAACACAACTCCATAATTTTATCATATTTTCAGCATATATCCATCATTACTATAGAACTAATTGTATAGTTAAAAATATATGAATAATATAACAAGAATTTCACATTTTTCTAATTCAGATTTTCTGGAAACTTTTATATCTATAATATACCAAAAGTTAGGGATGGGGTATTTGAAACATCTTAAAGATACTAATAAGATAAACATATTTTTATCTTTTATAAAGAAAAATTTAAATACTCAGACATCTATAAAAGTAGATTTGACTGTCAATAGACAAAGGTTCACCCACAGAGTAAATTCCCATATGCTGGCATAAGTGGCATCTGTGTACTTTTCTGTCTTTATTTCATGCCATGTACCCCTGGCCCAATGTACTGCTTACAGATTGAGTCTGTAGGAGAAAAATGTCCCAGCTGCTAACTTGAGACCTGCCAAGCACTGAAATCACTGGACAACCCAGTGCTGCCTCCTGCTTGAATATATCCCTACGGGTGGATCCTGGGTGTTGGTACTCCCTGATGTGCACTTAAAGCAGGGAAAGTCAGCAAATTAGGACACTTCAAAGACACAGTGTAATTTCAATATGAGTTTGGAGCAGAGAAATAGAATTCTGTTGCTATTAAGTTAATTAGTTACTGCAACTTTCTTGTTCCATTTTCGGTAGCGAAAAATTTAGATGTGCTAAGAGGTTAAGAATAACAAGGAGAAATTATTCTGATTTTACTTTATGTGTTAAAGTAAAATTAAATTAAATACCATTGATGTATGCAAACAACAGAATTAGAGAAAATGTTAAGATAATTTCCTTCTTATAAAGATTCTATATTGATGAGATTTAAATTTCCTAGTGCATTATATACACATGTACATATTGGCTATACCCTAAAACTAAACTGTAAACTCATTGCAAGTAAAAATTGTGCTTTATTCTCTTTAGTAAATAAGTGTTTATTGTATTGATTTTAAAACCTACTTGAAAACAGAACATTTTCAAGCTTAAATCTTTAAGAAAAAAGAGATTAGGAGATTTATTGTTAAATATTTACTGATAGGTTTAATCCCAAGAAACAGCTAGTTATTTGTTTGAGATGCCATTACAACTAGGCAAAATTATATAAATATTAAATCATGATGTTGAGGCTATATTATACTAAACCAAAATATGTTCCTAAGAAATGTTCACAGTACTGCAACCTTTTGATTGAGAGGACAATCAACATTTACCAAAATTATACAAACCTTTAAAATTAAGTTCACAGTATGAGATAGACTTCAATGGTGAGTGAACTTTTTCTCTCTGAAACAATCCAGATAGCTTTAGGGTTGCAAGCCACATATAGTTCTTGACCTGACTACTCAAATCTGTATTGTAATATAAAAGTAGTAACAGACAATAATTAAATGGATCTACGTGGCTGTGTTCCCAACAAAACTATTCATAGAAATAGCCAGTCTTTAAAGTAGATAATATATTACTGGAAGTAGCATTAGGTGAACTAGAGAAGGGATATTCTTATATTTTTATAGAAAAAGAAGTACTTGTGGTGTTTTCTTTGTTGATTAAAAGAAAAACAAAAACAAAAACGTAAGTAGTACACAAATCTTACCTGATTAGGTATCCTCAGTGGGGGCCGTGGACCTCCAGGGTAACGAGGTGACATAAAAGGCTATTGAAGTAAAAAAGATAAACAAAACAAAAGCAGCATGATATAAAATGCATATCTGCAAGTAAACTACTTAAATTTTTTTACAATTAACTCTAAAGCATAAAGCATTTTACTTTCCTTCCTGTGGGTGCCTTCACTAAAATAAATATGTCCAAGAAAAATATCACCTTTTTTTTTTTTTTACCTTGGAAAACATTTGGAAAATTCCCAAAGAAATTGCTAAAAACATTAAGAATGACTAAAGTGAGTACAACGAAAACTTTTTAAAATACAAATAATGACAGCTAATTGCTAACAAATAGGACTAAGAAAAGGTGATGTAATCTTAAGACTTCAGGAGAAAGCTTGTTATTTTGTTACACAAATTAACTTCTGAATAGATACTTTTCATTGAGTTGAAATATTTGCTTAATGCTTTCCCTTAATAATTTTAAAGTTTACAAATTTCATCTTTTCTTTTTATATTTTTTATTTTTATGTTTTATTGTAAAAATACTGTACAGAGGGGTTACAGTTACATGAACAAGATAATGAGTACATTTTCTATCATGCTTTGTTATCTCCTCCTTTGTTTTTCCCCTACCATCCCTTCCCTCCCACTTCCACAACTACACTCCCCCCCCCCCAAAATTGTAAAGTTTGTTTTTCAACATAGTGTCTTGTGCATCTCATTGTTACAATGGGTCAATCTGTATCCCTATTTAAGCATTTTGTTTTTTCCCTTCCCCTCTCCAAATTAGAGAAGTGTATATACAAGATGCAGGGCACCGACATCAAATACAGTGAAAACAGGGGTTATACCATAAGGGAGGAACATACAAAGAAACAAAAAAATCACATTATAAATACGTTAGAAACAATAACAAGAAAGAAAAAACCTCTTGGGTCCCTATCTTGGGATTCATTTTGCTTAACATCATTTTATATAATCATATGTACATAGCTTTGGACCTTTTCTGCTTTTGCATTTCATTAAATGGCAAAGAAGCTTCTTTTCCAGGAGCCGAAATAAGCTCTGACTTTGTTTCATTATGGGTTTGCTATCATTTAAGATTGACCAGAATTTTTTACCTACTTTTTATTGTTAAGAAGTTGTACAAAGAAATTTCTAGTCCATAAGTCAGGTTATGAATATGATGTTTCTTGATCAATGGCAACCTTTCCTTCATTCATACCCACTTCATACCTTCCCATCTGGATGCTCAAATTATATAGTTCAAGCTTTACATAATGTATATTGAATATAATAGCTGTATTTGTTCACCCTTTCTCCCTCCATTCCTGTGCCCCTCTCATTCCCTGCCCCCAATATATTTCTACTTCCTGGTATTCATTTTGTTGAACAGTTCATTAGTTGTTCTGAGGAGTTAACACCAGTGAGCTCTTTCCCTAAGTATACAATCTTCTCTTACTCCTGAGGAGCTGTGCTTACAGGTATAAATCATCATGCTTGGCCAAAGTCACTTTGAAATGAAATACAAAAAATTACTAGATTCCAAAAATTGAGACAAATATTAAATGTCTCTTTTGAAATAGAGCACATGAGATCAGTATGTTCATCTCAATGTAAAAAGATATTCAAGTGTTAATTTATTTGAATATTAGAAGGGATGATATTTTCCTTCTAATGGATAGCCTTTGGGGATGAATGTATGTTAATGGGATTATCTGTACTTTCCTGACTCTGAAGTCCTAAAAAGACTGATGTTAGGTATGGTCAATATATGTGGAGGTATCTTCTTTTAAAAAATGCAAATTATGGGGCTGGGAAGGTGGCTCAGTGGTAGAGTGCTTGCCTTGCACGCATGAGGCCCAGAGTTCAATTCCTCAGCACCACATAAGCAGAAAAGCTGGAAGTGGTGTTGTGGCTCACATGGTAAAGTGCTAGCTTTGAGTTGAAGAGCTGAGAGACAGTGGCCTAGGCCCAGAGTTCAGGCCCCATGACCGACAAAAAAAGAAAAGAAAAAAGAAAGAAAGAAAGAAAAAGTGCAAATTATGTGTTTAGGAGAGAAAGGAAAGAAAAAGTAACCCACAAACTTGACTTGCGTATATGCAAATATATAATTAAAGCATACAGTGATGATAGTCTAGGTTATTTTGATAAAAATCTACTTTTATCTAAAGATCGTTTTGCTTTAAGTACTTTAACATAAAATTAGTTGTTACAATACAGGCTCTTACCATTCAGATTGATCCTGAAATTGATTACCTCATGTGACACAGTAGAAGCTTCTGAGAATTATGCATGGGGGCAAGTGAGAATATCTAATATCTGCATTTCCCCATTTAAAAGCCAATTTGCTTCCAAATATGATTCAAGATAATAAAACAAACGAATTTATGTAAAATGCTAATCTGTCCTAGAGATTATATGTACTGTTAGTACAAATTCTATCTGTTGGCAGATATTTTAGTACTGGCTGTACTCTTTAAAGAACCTGTTCAAAGAGTCTTTAGTTCTGAGAGCTTACTTTTTATATTTGGGGCACTGTTTATTTTTTGTTTCATTCTGTTGTTTAAAAATGACATTAAATCCCTTTTTAAAAAGTTATTTATAACGAGCAAAGGACCTGCACTCTAGTTTTTCTACAACTACTACTATTTAACAGAATGAGCTTGGTGTGATAAGCTTTGAAGATGTTAGTTTTCTCAACCTGAAAATAAGGGAACTGCACAAATTGACTTCCAAAATCCTTCATAAAATAAAGTATTCAGGATTCTGTGTTAACCCTTAAATCTAAAGATGAGTATATTGTAGGTAGTTTAAATACCTGAAGTGTGTAGGGGTAGAATTAAAATATGGGGTAAGGATAAAAGCATATACACACAAGACACAAACCATCTTTATCAATGAGAAAGAAAATTTTTACCATGTCTTTGAGAAAAGGAAATCATAGTTAAAAAGAACTATTCTAGCAAACAATGATGTTCTTCTTTGTTGTTATACTAAAGGTCAAATGGGGGAAAAAAAAGAATAGAACTTACTGATTAGAATGTTTGGTGTAGTTCATTCATTCAACAAAGCTTATGAAATCCTACCTATGTGGGTGGTAGTTATCAGTGAACAAAGTAGATAAAAATCGCTGCCCTCTCCTTAGGATGTTTTACATGCATAGTCTGATAAGTATAGGAGAAACAATTTCCTGGAATAATTGTTCTCTACACTAATTCACCTATCTGTAACAAATAGAAATGTTCTCTTCAGCAAATTGCAATTTATCAATGAAAACCCAAAGAAAATAAATATTTCAACCTGATGTCTTCCTTAGAGTCATATTATATCATCCACAAATGACAGAACAAGAAGTGTTACTATGAATGATTGAAAATCAAAGCTACACTTTAAAAATTTTCCAAATTAGATAAAAGATAAAGATTATGTTGTTTATAATATAAGGGAAATTCTGGTAGCAGAATTAGTAATCTAACAGAAATTGCAGTTGGAGGTAAAAGTTATTGTTTGTATATTTTTTGTTATGTATGTTGTGAACAAAATGTTTATATACCCACAGACTTAATACGCTGAAACTAATATCCAGTGTGATGGTATTTGGAGGTGTGGCCTTTGGAACATATTTATAGATAGTGAGGATAAAGCCTTTAGGAATGGGATTAGTTTCTCTCCCTCCATTCTTCCCTCTCCTGCCTCACACCCATAAAAGCAAACTACTGTTTGCATACCAGAAAGATGGCCCTCAGCAGGAACTGAATTCACTGCCAACTTGATCTTGAATGTTCCTACCTCAGAACTCTGAGAAATAAATTCTGTTGTTTAAACAAGGTTGTCTGTGATATTTTTATAACAGTAGTCCAAACTGACAGATATAGTCTATAAGAAATAGCATAATCCAAAACAAAGAAAAAAGCCATCATAAAACCAATAAATATTGATGATAAAAATGAAATGAAAATATTCTAACAAAAACACAAACCATGTGTCCAGACTGTTTCCCCCAAGTAGTATTTTAGAGCAGAAAAAAAGCATTTACAATCATTTTTATTTCAAAAAGAATGTCAATGAAGTTTAAAGAATTATTATTTTCTAATGTATTAGTCATGGAATTTTAATGTTTCTCAAAAGGAGATTTTCCTTTAACCCTTCCCCTTTATAATATTTATAACATTTATAATAAAATGTGACCTAATATTTGAATTTCTTTTCGATATATTTAAAAAAATAGGATTTTAAGAGTTTACTAGACCAACTTTCTTTTGTGCAAAAGACTCAAAGATGAAATTTCTTAACTCACAGTTTATCTTCGATAGATAGATAGATAGATAGACTTTTCCTTCTCTGCTTCAAAAATGGCTATTTATAGAATAATGACATGTACATACCCTTCAAGTAATGACCACTAACCATAAACAAACTGCTTGACTTAGCATTTCCTCTCAGGCCTCCCAGCAACTGTGCAGCCATTCATTTAATGTAGACTTCCTTACCCTTGCTACCACTCAAATACGAAAAATTGAAAACACAGTGAGATTTCAGGTAAGCAAGTTAATATGCATGTAAAGCACTAATTAGCATGTGATCTTGACAATCCTGACTAAAAGGAATACCATGAATAAAATAAATTTAACAAGTTCTATTTTTTTTCTTAAACATATTTGGTGGAGTTTGCATAATACCTACATTCTGTTTTATTTGTGTTTTTATGATAAATTCTAGCAGAGACTTGACAACAGGTAGAGAATGGTGATAAATGGATGTGATATTATTAGAAGATCATCCCCATTATAATAAAAATGTCCATCATAATGTGATAACTTATAATGAGGTTCTTGAGGAAGGGAATGAAGCAGTTGGTACAGTCTTAGAATATACAGAGCAAGCATCCAGTACATATTTGTTTGGTTGATTAATGATGCATTGACAGTCATGAACAACAATGATGGAAATCTCTTAAAACCAGGCAAGGATGCATTAAGCTGTAGTCCTTGTATGTAAAATCTCACTTGGTCTCTTTATTTGTTTCATTAAAAGTAATACCTAAGCC